AGATTCCACGTAAGCTTGGTGCAAACGCGTAATGAATAAACCTCCGGAAAAATCTTGCCGGTGTCAATGGTGGTGCAACTCGATATGCTTTACAATATGCAGCTGATTAATAAACCATTGTTGTATATGAAGAAATTCAAGAATATATATTCCTATCCTGCAAGGAATTCATTTTTGCTAAAATGATTCAAAATATGCGTTTTCTTTTCGGTTTATGAACAAGAATTAGGCCAGGAAAAAATGAAGCAACACAACACAAGCCCTCAAAATTTAGCCTTACATGGACTAGGTACAAATTTTCGGTTTAATGTCATCAAAATTATTTTTACACCTCCAAACATAGTTATCTGCATCGTGATTATCTTCGACTTCACTGAATCTCCTCCCTATAATTTCAACAAACGAAAGCCATTGAGAACCTTGAAAGCAGAAGTAAAAATGAAATGAAGATATACTTCATAAATTAGCAACATACCTCATTAATGTGGAGACCCGCCGCAATCTTACACCTCTCAAACAAATAAGATATATGATTCTGTGCATAGAAAGTTCTTATTCGGGATGTTGAAATTCAAGATCTAGTTTCCTCTTTAGATGTGTTCTGTCAGCACTGCAGAAGAAAGAGTAAAGAAAACAATAAAAAATCCACTCTACTCAATAACACAGCTAACACATAAACCGGGATACACTTGGACCGTTTGATTCCAAGAGAGATGATGCTAAGTCTAGAATCCAATCCTTTGGAATCTGGTTTCGTATACTTTATATTGTTATCGTATTATGAGGTTTTGAAATCACTTCAAGCTAAAGTGTACAACTGTGAAGCAAATTTGAGAGAGTACAGAAATTTAAACGCATTAGGAAAGAACATGTATAAAGTGTATTACCTATTAATAGTAGGTCTAGTTGGAGGTTTTGCTCCAAAGATAGAAAAATCAACTGACATTGGTTCATTCCTGCTTGTATTTTCACCAGCAGCATGTCTGGCTTCACCGAAACGATCATCAATCTTATCAACATGTGAATTTCCTTCAAAACCATCACGCTTTGGCATCACTCTCCTTGATTTTCGAGGAGGTGATAACACAGTAGGACCATCATTTGGATCAAAATCAGAAGCCTTAGATTCCCGCTTTGGAGCAGGTCTAGGAAGCTTGTCTGGATACGTAGGAAGAGGTGCAGATGTAAAGTACCTAAAGAGTACCACAGATATCACATACAGATCAAAAAGAGAAAACAAAAATGTGTAGATACTCAACTGAATAGCTAGAGTCTAATACCTGTGCTCTAATGCCTGCTGTACGGAAATTCTAACTTTGGGGTCATAAGTAAACATCTTCGCTAACAAATCCAGGGCATCATCACCAGCCACTGGAAACAATGAACGCAAAGGGGGTGCTGGAACATATTGGTATTCCACATAATCCCGGAGGTATACCATATCAGGCCACTGAGAAGGTGTTGGAGTCCCAAAAGCCGCAAAAATCTTTCCTAATTGATCAATATCACTTGATCCCTATTAAACATTTCAAATCAAACCAATATATAGTCAGAAAAAGGTGCACCCAGTATAAACTTCATTTATGCATGGCCCATGGAGAGCAATAACAAAATTACACATGACAAAGGTGATCAAAGTTGATTTATTGAAGACGTCAGTAAAATATCCAGTAAAATGTTTAACTGGAGAAACATTCCGCAGAAATGACAGAAATGTGTAGTAAAGTAAAATCTCAAAAGTCAGACACAATTGGAGGTGGCTATTACAATGAGCTCATGAAGATGTAACCCAATACAGGATTTTTCTCTTGGCGTAAAATAATATCTAACAAACTCATGTTTGTTTTTTGTCCACTGCCAGAAACGAGTACTTGTAATAAGAATTTGAAAACATGAACACATAAGCCACAAAAAACAAAAACCATAACAGCACTAAAAACATATTGGCTAATGGGAACCACATAAAAAGAGTTTCACTACGATTATGAAATATGGATTTACCTGCAAAAAGGGTCTGCGTAAGAGAAGTTCAGCGAATATACAAGCCGCAGCCCAAACATCTACCCCAGGTCCATATTGCTTGGTGCCAAATAACAGCTCAGGTGCTCTATACCAACGGGCAAAGACCTATTCATATGTGTCAAGGTGTTATAAAGAGCTTGAACCTAAAAGCATGCAAATCACTGAAAGAAAATGCACTTTTTAGTGGTATATAAAATAAACACCATCTTTGTAGAGTTTGAAGGAATGCACCAAATTAGCAGATATTTGAATATAATTTCCCAAGCAAATCCGCCGTCTATTAATAATTTAAAGGAAAAAAGGGTCATATATACTGGTGGTTGTACAACCTATCGAAAAACTATTAAGACAGGAGTCTTAACATCTTAAGGCCATTTCGAAAGTGTTTCATTCTAAACAATTTACTAAATACCCACCAGACTTGTTTTATATCTCTCACAAGGATACCATAGCAACCAATACCACCATGGAGAGGAGGTTTCTGAGACAGGTGAAGACTGGCATCAAACCAAACTCACAGTGCCCAGGACAAGCAGTGGCACTTTAGTAGGTTTGCTTTCAGTAAAAAGCATTAAATTATACGTAAAGAGATCTAACTCAAAATACCATCAAGACAAGGAGAAACATACCTGATGAGTGAACCTGCGATCTGGGCTCCCAAATATTCGTGCTAAACCAAAATCTGCAAGTTTAAGCTGCCCGTTAGGTCCTATCAACAAGTTGTTAGGCTTCATATCCCTGCAAAGCACAATTAGCACACATCTCAGACAAATAATAACAACCAAATAATTATCTACAAAGAAGGCTTTCTAGACACAAAAGGACTACCTGTGTAAAACCCATTTCTTGTGGCAAACAGCAAGTCCTTTTAACGTCATCTGAAGGTATGACTTTATGTCAGCTGGTGATAGGAATATATTCCGATCACGTATAACAGCTTCAAGGTCCGTTTCCATGAACTCAAATACAAGATGCAAGTTTCCTTTATGAGGGAATGCTTCAATCAACTCAATTATGTTCGGATCTTTCAGCTCTTTAAGCAGCTTAATTTCTCTGAGGGCTGTGAAATTCACCCCTTCCTTTTGCTTTCCAAGCCGAATTTTTTTAATAGCAACTGTCTGTCCTGTCTGCACAAGGAATGTATTGAAACCGAAATCAGAATCGATAGAGACTACTCATCAACCTTATTACGGTGCATTCAGTTATAAGCAAAAGAAAAAGAAACTTTAAACCACTTCAAAAGAATACCGATTCGTTAGTTGCTCATTTGGTAGCTCAGAAAGGTGAAAAACCATTCTCAGATTATGGGTCAGTATAACAACAATTTCCATTTTTCTAACGACAGAAGTATATGCAACGTTGTGTTGAAGAACTCCATTTCAAAGGCGATTAAGTATTCGGTGTCCGCACTGAAAATCGATTGCAACCCAGTTTCTAAGTACAGCGGAAAGCTAAAAAAAAGATAAATAAATAAACTTTAAGCTATAATGTTATATAATTACATCCAATAAAGTGAAATTCTTTTCACATTCAGAACTCAATTTTCTCAGCAAACAAACAAGTCCTTAAAAACCAAATTCCACATACATACACACAAACACGAAAAATGCACAACCCAGAAAAGTCGAAAGATTACACAAAGCAAAAGAAATTTTCAAAATTTGACAAAAATTCCACAACTGAAGAGAAATGGTAGGACTTTTACCTTCGTATCAATGGCTTTGTAGACGACTCCATAGGTACCTTCACCAAGAACCTCGCGCTTCAGATACCTATCCGCCACTTTCTTCGTCAGATCGACCTCTGCCATTGTCACTCTCCGAGTTATCACCTCACTGAAGTTTAATTCAATTTACGTTTTTACAGTGAAGTTTTTGGGTGAATTTTCTCTACACAATTGAGAATTTTCCGGGAAAATCATTTTCTCGGGAAAATTCTTTAGGGTTTTAGCATTTGGCGCAGACGAGAAAGCCGTTGAAGCCCCAGAGAGACAGAGACAGAGCGCGTAGAAGCAACGTCAATTTCAACGTTATTTATTTATTTATTATTCTGCTTTTCACTGGAAGTGGTTCGCTTTTTAATTTTGAAGATTATTTGGGGGTATTTTAGACTTTTGACTTGTTCTATATTACAATTCGGGTTTGGGCTGAGGGAAGTCCAAGATTATATCCAAACCTTTTGGGCAACAGATATGTAGCCCAGTAGACCCGACTACCCGCTGCCCGTATGTGCGTAAGCAATGATGTCATGAATGGCATGTTTGATAGTGTCAAAAGTAGAAACTATCTGCCAGTTGACAGTATATTGTCTAAACCCTTAATTTTCGTGCCAACATTATAAATATTGTGCCAAAGATGAGGTGGCAGAGTTCTTGTGGGGCATTTTTGCTCACGACCCTAAACTTTGATGGGTGGTCACCATACACCTAATCTATTATCATGTGTCCTTCCTCTTAACTTTGGTTAACTTTTTTCTCAAAATTGAAAAAGTAATATTTAACATGAAAATTAGCTAGAAATAAGTGAAAATACACATGACAAATGCTTAGATATATGATGAGCATACATCAGTAGAGTCTCACTATGATGGTGAGCAAAAATGCTCCCGAGTTTATAGCATTTCTCAAAGGAATATCCATGTGGTAGAATCGGTTAGCCTCACTCCCCAAGTAGCTTTATTATCTTTTATGTGACATGGATAAACAATAATATCATTTGTCGATATTTCGACAAACAAAGCTCAAGTGATTAAGGGTGTATTTACGTCTAAGTTTGATTTTTCCATCTCCAATGTCGCCACTATAAAAATAGTAATATTATATCTGGACATGAATCTGAAGTTGAATTGTTCAATATTTAAGGTCTTGTGTTCGAACCTCGCTTTCAGCTTATATTAAAAAAATTATAAGATCCAAGATACAAAATCTACCACTAAGGATATGACTAGTCAAAGAGTGTGTTCTCCTCTCTCTTTATAAACACAAAAAGTTGGTACAAGCAAATATTGACACAAATTTGAAAGGTGTGGTAGAAAATGGGAGGTGTGAAGCTGTTTGCAACAAAAGAAAGCCTTTTCAGTTCTAGGATTCAGTGGGCATTGAAGCTCAAGGGTGTGGAGTATGAGTTCATATTAGAAGATTTGGCAAACAAGAGTCCTCTTCTCCTCAAGTACAACCCCATCTACAAGAAGGTGCCGGTGCTTGTGCACGGTGACAACGTCGTTGTCGAGTCACTTGTGATCCTCGAGTACATCGAGGAGACATGGAAGGAGCACCCGTTGCTGCCTCGGGACTCATATGACCGAGCCACAGCTCGATTTTGGGCCAAGTTCAACGATGAAAAGGTACTCCTTTTGTGCAAAACATGTATGCAAGTGATACGGCTATGCTTTTTGTGCGCGGCTAGCTAATTTAACACTCTATTTTCTTGCCTCATGCATGCTTATAAAACGTTCAGTTTTGAGTGCAGATAGCCTGTGTTTGATCCTATATGGTAGAGAGAGAATCTCTTAAGCTTTCCCGACTTGAAACTAATTTTCTTGTACATGTTCACGTTCCAGCTTGTGCCTCCAGTGTGGACAGCTTGCACGGGAGAAGGCGAAGCGCAGGAGAAGGCGAAAGAGTCTGCGTTAGAATCACTAGCACTTCTTGAGAAGCAGATCGAAGGGAAGAAGTTTTTCGGCGGAGAACAAATAGGGTATCTAGATTTAGTATTGGGGTGGATATCTTACTGGATAAGTGGTGTGGAAGAAGCTGGAGGCAACAAGGTACTTGAAGCAGAGATGTTTCCATCTCTCCACCAATGGGGTCAGAACTTCATCCACAATCCACTCATTGAAGAATGCATTCCGGCTAGAGAGGCGTTTGTCGCCTACGTCCAATATGCCATCAATTGTAAGATATTTCTGAAATCATAAGAACAACAACAAGAGATTAGGATCACAGATTTGATAAACCAAAATTACAATAAATCAATTACAATTTACTTATCTTTGGAATACGGAAGACATAGCTCTTGCGGATGACAAAGGAGTCTTCTACTTTCAACAAGCAGAAGTGTTCCAGCAATAATAGGGTTTGCTCGGAATGGAACGTGTATTTTGTGAAAGCAGGGACACCCTTAATATAGTGATTAGGGTTCTCCTAATTCCGCCTATTATAGTAATTAGAGGAATACACCAAATCACCATTTATTCTTAATGTTGTCCCACCAAGGCATGTACAATATGTCTTACTTAATTAGGGTTTCAATTAGTCAACTAAATATATCTTGGTTCCATGATTCTTGCCAACCAATATTGAATCACATTAAAAGCCAAATATCTTGAAGATCAAGTTATTTGTCTTTCAAGTAATTCGATTCATAATAATTGACAACTCAACATGAGTCTTACATCAATTACATTCGTTCCATATCCGCCAACAAACCACAATGACGTGCTCAATCTCTTCACCTCCGGATCTGATTACTGTTATGAGTCTTCCTCTTGTCTATGTATTCTGCTACAATAAATGAAACAACGAAGAGAGAAGCATTTCAGTTAACGTTATCATGTGACGGAACAACGATCATGTACTAAACAGAAACAATCATCACATTGCAGCACCACATTGTATCAAAACCACTCCGAAATTCTGATGTGGAGGGAAAAATTTAGATGATCTTCCATTAAGACATAGCTCGCTGCTCGGTTCTAATGCGAGTTTAATGAACCACAGAGAGCAGGTACAAAATGCATATTATAGCAAAACTTAGAACAAGAAGCTGTAAAATCAACTAACCTAATATCGAAACTTAACTGTGTAAATCTAAAGACAATAGCGAAAGAATTTAGGAAGCAACCGAGGAAGGGAATAAGTGGACGGTTCAAATTTGGGATAAAGAAGGAAAGTTTGGTAGAAGTATTGACTACTCATAAGCGTCACACACATCACTGCATTTCTAGAAGAGGGTTCAATTGGTCGTGATGCAAGAAACAAATTCTATCCTTACTTGCTTAGTTTGAAAGTTCAACAGATTAGGTGAGATTAAAGTTTATCTAAGCTTACCAAACAGTACTTTTGAGTAATAAACATGAGAGTTGATTGACTTACAACTTTCTCTGCAAGAAATGTGATGCTTTTCGAAATCCCGCCTTCAGACCAATGCTTCAAAAGATTGAAAACTTGGTTCGATTTCAGAATTTGCAGACTTCAAAATGGGAGATGAAACATGGAGAGAGAACCCACTGTTGCCAGAAGATCCATTCGAAAAAACAATGGTGCGATTTTGGGCAAAGTAGGTCAACGAGAAGGAAAACAAACAACATCACACTGCACTCCACGTATATGTGTGTATATATATATATATGTATGAATGCTTATACATGTAACTATACATACATTATATCGAAGAAGAGAAGCGAACGAGCTTTTCAAACACTATGGAACTCATTGTGTGATCAGTGCATGGACTGCTAGCCGTACAAAGAGGCATGAACAAGAGAAACCCTTGGAGGCAGCACAAGAATCACTCAAAGTTCTGAACAAGCTCATTGAAGGCAAGAAATTATTCGGAGGAGAAATCATTGGTTTCCTAGACTTAGTGGTGGGTTCTTTACCTAACAGCTGGCTCAAGTTCTTAGAAGAATCTGCAGGCATAAAGCTGTTTGACACAAAGAGAGTATTCCGATGGCAAAAGATCTAATCAATTACATCCGGTATCACCAGAATGCCGAATGATGTCAAAGAAGAAACACCTAAAGTAAAATGATCACAGATTCGGCTTAAAATAATGTAAACGAAGCATCACGCAGCCTTGATATTTCCCGATATATGTACATATGTGTATGTATAATATGATCCTTAAAGGTGAATCTAACATCTATATTTGACTGAAACAAAAATTAAGTCATTACACGGTGACAACGGCACCAGAAAGCAGTTCCCCCACGTTTGCCTCGGCCAACTGCTAGTTCTTCATCAATGTAAAACCATATAAAGAATGGATCCTTCGTGCTAGGCTCTCTGTCGTCTTTCTGGCCTAGACCGATCTCTAGGGTTTTCAAAGGTCCAATTTTTATCCGGATGGACTCAAAGACGAAGGCTAGTATTCTCTCCTTCCAGGAAAATCTTCCTTCAAATGTTAAGCATCCAAATGGCCCGAAATACACTCCGTTCTCAATTCTCTTTCCCTGATAACCCCGGCAGACATTTGTTAGCCTCAAAAAGTTGAAATGCAACTAGGAAAATGCTACTCGTGCCTGTGTTTTCCGATTATTATTGACGATGAGAACTTATAAAAGCACCTATTTAGTTTTGAACAACAATAATATCCAAGCAACTTTGCAAAGAGATGGCTCATTACAAAATTTAGGCACGAGTGATCGTAATAGAGATAAAAAGACTTACAGCAGCATCAAATCGCTGAACTGCGGTAACAGGGAAGTAGCGACCGCCCTTCAATTCCTTCTGCAAACACCACAAAACAATGCTCATTTCTGATATAAAAGGCGAAAGATTAAACATGGTTATGGCACAGGTGAAAGCTTTACACTAACCTCAGCAGTAAATATGAGCATCTATGTTCTCCCCGGGGATTCTGTTCCGCCAAGCGTGTTAAGAAACCCGGAAGGGTCGAGCTTTCCCTTCTCAATGACCGATAGAGCGGACAGAACCTCCTCCTTCGCAACCCGTCTTGTTTTGGCGGCATTTTTGAGCAATTTCACACTCTCCTCCACTTCCTTAACACAACAATAACAGCATAACTTAATCAAAATATAAGTTCTTTCATTAGTATGTGCTTCCCTAAGAAGTGCTTCTTCACTCAAGAAGCACTTTTAAGTTTTTCTGCTGATGATGCAGTCCAAAGCGTTTTTGGTTGTCCAAAAACGCTTTTAGCTAATCTTTGCAACTGAAAGAAAAAATAATGAGAAAAGCATACTTTGGTGGGCTGTGGTGGTTCCTGGGCAAGCTGAGATGTGGCGGTGGCGCTTTGTTCGCCGCCATCAACGGTTGCTCTGGTTCTTGTGGTGGAAAATTTGAGGATGGGATTGCGATGTGTGGGCTTGGATTGAGGTGGGATTTGGAGGGGCAGATTTGAGGGTCTGAGAAATGATTGAGAAGAATTGAGAGCCAAGGAGTAGGAGATTGCTGTGACTGTGTGTGAGGCTGAGGCCATTGCTGCTGCACTCTCTATGTGCCTATGGGGTACCATACAACTCCTCCCTCTTTTGGGTCTTTCATTCTGTCGAGATTCTCTCCTGATCTTTCGGAACTCAGAAAATTCGTACCACTTATTTTAAATTTTACGCCCCTTTCACCTCACCCAAATTAAAAATAGGGCATTTTTGCTCACCACCATTCAATATGGTGTATGTTTTACCATCATTTTTATCATCGTTAGATGAATTTGAATTTTAAAATTCGAATCTCACTTTTCAACGGCTTGGATCTTCGAGTCTTTGGCTTCCGAACGCAGAGATTTCAAGAGGATCTCGATTGGATTTGTTGATCCTTTCATTCACTTTTTTTACAAGTGGATTAGATTTCTATATTTTAAAACAATTTTGGAAAAAAAACAATTATTTTCAAAATTTAAGATTGCAAGGATGACACGTCAATATTTTCACTTTTGTTCATTCACAATTAAGTAGTTAAACTGACACTTAATATTACGACTTAGTAATATTTTTCTTCATTTATTAGTGAGCGTTTTTAATTTTGATTTCACAAAAGATGAATTCAAATCAAATTATTATTATGGATAGTTCAATGTGACTTATCAATATATTTGATGCATAATTTTTTTTTGTAATTAAGTTGATACTAAAAAATAATTGTCTCCTTCGAATAATTTTTCTTGTGAATTAACAAAATAATGAATAATGAATTCAAATAAAATGTATATGGCATATTATCAAAAAGGAACTTTAACGAAAATTGAAGGGAAAGATGGAATATATGTGCGACCCGATCGGAGAAAACGGATTTAACCCGCGAAAGTAAAACGAACTCCAAATTTCCAGGTGAGAAGCAACGTTAAAATCCACATATTTCTCACTCTCACGCTCTCACACTGTCTCCGCCTCTCCATCTCCACCTCCTGCTCCGCCTCCTCCGCCCAACCACACCATCGCAGGTGGCGATCACCCAATGAGCGACGCTTCCGCTCCGGTCATCTCCTCCGCCAGCTGACCCTTCACAAAAACAAAAGAAAACAACCTTCATTTCCGATCAAAATTACCAAAACACCACAATGTCCTCCTCCCGCAAGCTCTTCTCCACTCTCCTACGCACCTCTCTCTGCCGAACCGCCTCCGCCACAAGACCCGCAACCCCTAGATCCCCCCTCACGCGGCCGTCGGGGTACCTCCTCTCGCGCGCCGCTCACTACTCGACGTCATCGGCCGCAGCAGCCACCGCGCCTCCCACGCCCGCTTCGCCGTCAGTGAGTGAAAAAATCACAGATGATTTCACCGGAAAGGGCGCCGTCGGCAAGGTCTGCCAGGTGATCGGAGCCGTCGTCGATGTTCGGTTCGACGACGGGTTGCCGCCGATCCTGACGGCTCTCGAGGTCCTGGATAACTCGATCCGATTGGTGCTCGAGGTGGCTCAGCACCTTGGTGAGAACTTGGTGAGAACATGGTGAGAACCATTGCCATGGATGGAACCGAAGGGCTCGTTAGAGGTCAGAGAGTCCTCAACACTGGCTCTCCCATCACTGCAAGATCCTACTCTCTGGCTTTCTATTTCTCAAAATTCAATTTTTTTTTCGTGTTTAAGAGTTTATTTATTTAATTTTGTATTAAAAAATGAATTTATTGATTAAATTTTGAAACTTTTGAATAATGGGGTATTGGAAATTTATGAATTGTGTATCTAAAATTTGTGTGGAATAGGTGCGTGTTGGCAGAGCCACCCTTGGCCGGATTATGAACGTTATCGGAGAGCCGATCGATGAGAGGGGTGATATAAGTAAGCAGCAGCTGAAGCTCTCAACTTTTTTTAATTTGTTTTGCATTTGTATAATTTGTCAATATTATTAAGTTATAAATGTTGTAAATGAATGTTGTTTTGCTTTCGATTCATCAGAGACCGATCATTTTCTTCCCATCCATAGAGAAGCTCCGGCTTTCGTTGAACAGGCTACTGAGCAGCAGATTCTTGTCACTGGAATTAAGGTATATTGGCGGTGTAATTCCCATCCATAGATAAATAGATGCTAAGAGAGAGAAAAAAGTCGAAAATTCAAGCTAAATGTTGGGGATGCATACATTCGGATTGCCAAACTCTGGAAAGGTTTTCGGTGTCTATTTTTGTTTGTCATGGCTATTTTTAGACTGCAACAGATTCGAAGAGAGACTTTCTTCTGTAAAGTAGTAGTATTGTTTAAATTTGAAAAGAAAACTTGTCCTATTGCTATCATATGGTTTGTATAATAGTATGCTCTTTGTTTTCTGCATATTAAGTGATCTCAGCATCAACCGAAACAAATAACATTTGTGTCTAACCTTTATCAAGGTTGTTGATCTTCTTGCGCCTTACCAAAGAGGAGGAAAGATTGGGCTCTTTGGTGGTGCTGGTGTCGGAAAGACCGTGCTTATCATGGAACTCATCAACAATGTTGCCAAGGCTCATGGTTGGTTCCATTTAGATGCTTTTTAACTATCTTCTCTGTTGAGTAATGATATCTCGGGTTATAAAATGTTTCATCCTCCTTCTGCAGGTGGTTTCTCAGTGTTTGCTGGCGTGGGAGAACGTACAAGAGAGGGTAATGATTTGTACAGAGAAATGATGGAAAGTGGTGTCATTAAGCTTGGAGATCAGCAGGTTAACTTACTGCAACATGACGTACTAACTTTCCTACTTTTCCTTCGCATTATGTTATTTTCAATTCCGCTCCCTTGTATTGCAGAGTGAGAGTAAATGTGCTCTTGTCTATGGACAAATGAATGAACCTCCTGGTGCCCGTGCTCGTGTTGGGCTCACAGGGCTTACTGTGGCTGAGCACTTCCGAGATGCTGAAGGACAAGATGTGCTTCTCTTCATTGATAACATATTCCGCTTTACTCAAGTAAGCTCTCTCTACACTCACACACACACATTTCAGTTGATATATTTTCAACTTCTTCTGACCAAATACCGCCCTTTTCTTTATCTTCTCTCCAGGCTAAGTCAGAAGTGTCTGCCTTGCTTGGTCGTATCCCCTCTGCTGTCGGTTACCAACCTACCTTAGCTACTGATCTTGGAGGCCTTCAAGAGCGTATTACTACAACCAAGAAGGGTTCCATTACTTCTGTTCAAGCTATTTATGTGCCTGCTGATGACTTGACAGATCCGGCTCCTGCAACCACTTTTGCCCATCTTGATGCCACCACTGTGCTGTCACGACAAGTATGCAGTCTTCTATTTTCCATTAAATTATGAAGCAGGAATGACTTTCTGCTTTTTCGTCTGCTCCTTATGTTGAGTTGAAGGAGAGCTTTACCAGCTTCCAGGTGAACATCTTCCATATTTCCTTTTTTGTCTTGGTCCTGAATTAGTCATCACCTTGATTTTTCTAGAACCGATTCCTTTATGTGCTAGCCCTACAACTCTCTGACGTTGTGTTGCGGGATTTCATTTCTACAGGGAGTTTTGGATGGGAAATATGATGACCTTCCTGAGCAATCATTTTACATGGTTGGCGGAATTGAAGAAGTCATTGCCAAGGTGGAGAAGATTGCTAAGGATTCAGCTGCATAATCACTCACATTACGTTGGCTCTTCTCTAAAAGGTTACATTACCAAAGAGCTACAAAATTTTCTTTTCGGAGATATATAGATTCGTCATTCCGGGAATTATTTTTGGTAGGTTAAGGGTTGTACAAGGAAGAGAATTCAGGAAGGGGCATATTCTATTAGGTCCCTTTTTTTTGTCCAATAAGGTATGCACTTGCGTGTATTTATTTATCTATCTATCTATCTATAACCATTTGAGTTCCACACCAAAGGTTTTCTTCGTCCGGTGTCGGTCCAAGCTTTCAGCTGCTTCTAGGGTTTCTTTCTCGAATGGATGAAGGTCGATCCTGCATCCTCGGCTCTCAACAAAGTGGTAAGTTAGCACCTTTACTCATTGAGTTGGTTTTTCTTCCGCTCTGAAAATCTGTTTGGCTGGTGAGAAAATGTGGGAAAAGTTGAGTCGGAAAAAAAAAAAATCATTTTATTTTTCTTTCGTGATTAAACACTCGTGTGGTGTTTAATCTTAAAATTGCATTGACGTACTAATACAAGTACATTCTTTATTCACGATCTTCCTAATTCAAGCTACAAATTAAAATTCTTTCAGAGGAGCTTCAAATCTTCAAACGACTAGTTGCATTGTTTGTTGTTACTCAGTCGCTGATCTGCGTTTGAGTACAACAAACAAGCTAACAAATTTCTTCGATTCGAGGACGGAGGAGGATTCTTCGAGTTTCTTGCGGAACAAGTCAAAAAGATGATCCAGATCAATCTCCTCCCCGAAATGCTTCCGAATCATTCCCTCCATCCCGGATCTCACTCCGGTGGCGAATGCCTTGGGCTGTGGTTTTTCCCCGCTCAAGATTTCCATTGTTTCTGGGCTGAAACATCCATTAGCTTTCACAATCGCTTCCACGTCTTCGAGCGAGGCGATGTATTGTGGTATGTTAAAGGAGTCCACTTTCTCTTCAGAAATGATACCCTACTCGAGAAACAAAAATACCAAGGTCAATTAGTCACCGGTTTAAAATAACAAGGCAAATCGCTTCTCTAGAAAGAGCTTGTGCTCATAAGCCAGAAGTACTTTTATCATAAGCACGTTAAAATGTTTATTACAAATCTAAGTGCTTCCTTAAAAAACATTTGGAAGTGTTTCCTGAAGAATCTGGTGGACGTTTCTCTAGGAAATGCTTCTCTGAGCCATAAACACTTTTTTTTTTTTTTGTCAAATGCAACTACGAGTGCTTTTGAATGTCAGAAAGCGCTTTTAATTCTGTTAGAAGCAATCCCAAACAGCGCTTAAGGCAACGTATTACATAGAAAGCTCTACATTAAGTTCTATGATGCAAATACACTGAGCTGATCATTTCGTACCTTCTTGGCCATGTCCATGAGGCAGGATCCAAAGAGTTCTTTCGCATTGTTGAGGAAAACTTCAGCATGAGGGATTCCATTGGGGCGGCCGGGGACGACAAACGCCATCAACCCGCCGCTTACAATCTCTTGTGCTCGAGCACTCAGAAAGCAGTCCATGTCCTTGGCATACTGAGCTTCATACGCCTTAACGACGTGGTTTGCCGATTTCGAGTAATGAATCCTCCCTTTGTTCCAAGCCGGCGAGTTCACGTCCACCACTTCTTCCGGGACTTTCGAAAGAAAATGGAGGGAATATGAAGAATAAGCAAAGTGAAGAAAGTCCTTGGGGAAAAGTCGAGAGTAAAAAGAACCCGGCACGCCCGCTGCGTAGTACCGCCTGTCCGAAGGCATAGATTTGAAGAGCTCATTGAAATCGTTGGACGCGTGATCGTTGAAAAAAACTTGGAACTCAGGGAGCTGATGAGAATTGTGTCCTTGGCCTTGACACTTTTGCTCCACAGCATCAAGTATGTTTTGCACTGCGTGGAATGTGTTAGGCCCGACAGAGCAGCCTAAATCCGTGACTCGAAAGGCGTTCGTCGAAGAGATGATTTTGTTTTCGAGCTTTTCGAAAATTGCTTCCTTGATCAGTTCCTTGCCAGCTTCTATGGCTTTTCTCTACAGAAAAGAAAAAGAAGAGAAGCTTGAGTTATTTTCTCCTCGTCAACGTGAAACAAGCTTCCATTATGTGAGTGAAAATTATACTGCCCTCTAGTGTATCTTGTACGTCGAAATTTTTTTATTGTTAAATCTAGTGCATCTTGTACGTTAAAATTCTATTATCCATCAATCAAGTGAGTCAGGAATAGAGCTAGAAATTTTCTTTAGCGCAGCAACCTTAACCTCTAGACTTGAGGAAAAAAAATCATGATTCTTCTATAATTTCATTGCTTTTATTTTCTTCTCAAATTTCATTAAGCCAACTTGTAGACATTTTTCCAAATAATAAGCTTATTATACATATTATGTGAAAATTTTAACTAAACTACTTAATGTGATAAATTCAAGTTATGCAAGCGTCTTTTTTTTTTTTCGTCTGCACAAAACTTTAGTGGTGGGCAACTGCCCCTAGTGTGCCTCTGCTGCCTCCGTCCCTGAAGTGAGTACTATCTTTCCCAATGACATTATTGACATAGAATGTGGCACAATTTGTTTCTATGAAAACGATATGCATTGAAGTTTTTCTATCTTTCAAAGATAAAGTAAAAAAGATAATACTTCGATCCCCACCAGTTGAATAGTCAGAATTTTATATCCCTATTTAATGGCATGCACTGGTAATAATATAACACATTACACGTATCATTCGATAAAGATATAGGGCATAACACTGTGACAATTAATGTTGAAAAGTAAATTGCTTACTAATTTCAAGTTAGTAAATGATTTACTTATCTATTTTATCTTTGTTCTATTGAGTAGCTGTTTTATGTTGTGATAACTTGTGCTCATATGCCAAGTTTATGATCTTAGATCAGGTATCTTTTCAATGGCTCATATGCTCTGTTCTGCCATGTGTCAAAATCACATTGGCTCATGTAATTGAACGGTTATGATGGCTGATGTAAAAGGAAGGAATGAATATGAATGAAACGTTGCTCTCTGTTGTGTTGCAGAGTTGCAGTTGTGAAAACTTTGTCTCTCATTCTCTCTGTCTTTTCAGCTTCCTCTAAAATCCAATTCACATATATATCAGATTTCTAAGAAAACTTAACATGGTATCAGAGCTCAGGTTCTATCTGGAATCGGGGCGTAAGATCTGTGAGTGCTGTGCTCGGAAATCCAACGTGAAATTTCCGACTCAGTTTGTCGATTCAAGTCTCAAATGGCTGGATCTGGTGGTAGTGATCTTCGGGCTCCAATATTCAATGGTGACAACTATGAATTTTGGAAGATCTGAATGAGAACTATTTTCAAATCACATGGAATCTGGGATTTAGTTGAAAAGGGGTTTGAAATTTCAGAATCGAAGGATAAGAAGATTGGAGATGAAGGCTCATCGGAGTCGGAGAGAGTTTCTCTGAGCGACAAGCTAATGAAGGATGCTAAGGCACTGGGTATAATCCAAGGAGCTGTCTCGGATGACATCTTTCCCAGAATCTCAAACGAAGAGACCTCAAAGGGTGCTTGGGACATACTACATCAGGAATTTCATGGTGATAAGCAAGTGAGATCCATCAAGTTGCAGGGTCTACGCCGTGATTTTGAGTACACAAGGATGAGGGATGATGAAACTCTGTCTGTGTATCTCACTCGTCTTCTCGAGTTGGTAAATCAGATGAAGGGTTATGGGGAAGATTTACCCAGAGAACGATTAGTTCAGAAATTACTCATAAGCTTAACTAAGGAATTTGATCCTGTTTGTTATGTAATTGAACAAACTAAGGATATTGAAACTATAGAGGTACAAGAGGTGATTGCAGCTTTGAGAGGGTTTGCACAACGCCTTGATAGGCATGCTGAAAGTACCATTGAAAGAGCTTTCAGTACTCTGAATCTGAATTCGAAAGGAACCCAACCAAATCTCTCGTTTGGTAATTCTAAACCAAAGAAGGATTGGAAATCAAAGGGAAAGAAATGGGATCCTAAACCTCAGAATCTTGCTAATCGAGGTGGCAAATATGATCAAGGAGGAAAATCTGATCAGTCTAAGGGAAAATGCAAGCATTGTGATAAACTGCACTATGGTGAGTGCTGGTTTAAAGGGAAGCCGAAATGTCATGGATGCAATCGTTTCGGTCATTTCATCAAGGATTGTGATCAACCAAACAAGTCTGGAAAACTTGTAAACTATGCGAATCAGGTAACAGAATCTGCAACCATGTTTTATGCCTGCCATTCTGCTACTATTGGAAGAAGTATGAATATATGGTATGTAGATAGTGCATGTAGCAATCATATGACCTCTCATGAATCCTTGCTCATTGATGTTGATAAGAATGTGAGGTGTAGAGTTAAAATGGGCACTGGAGATTTAGTGCAGTCAATAGGCAAAGGCACATTGGTGATTGAGATGAAAGGTGTGACTAGGTATATTAAAGAAGTTATGATTGTACCTGGTTTGGATGAAAACTTATTGAGTGTAGGGTAGGGCAGATGGTAGAAGAACATGGATATTGGCTTGTGTTTGGTGATTACATGGTTGATATTTATGGAGATAGGCAGATGGAAGATCTAATTGCAAGTGTTCCCATGAAAAGAAACAGATGCTTTCCATTAAGTTTGGAATATGTTAATCCTCATATGGCTAATAGAGCAACTGTTGAAGAATCAGCTCAGTTGTGGCATAGAAGATATGGACATCTAAACTACTCTAGTTTGATGCTTCTACAAGAGAAGGAAATGGTGCAGGGCCTACCTAGACTACAAGTCTCTGAGCATGTTTGCTCTGGATGTGCTACAGGGAAGGGTCACAGGGAATCATTTGACAAGGGAAAAGTTTGGAGGACATCACAACCTCTAGAACTTATTCATTCTGATATATGCGGCCCAATGCAGATAACTACTCTAGGAGGCAACAAATTCTTTCTCACATTTATTGATGACCACACTAGGATGTGTTGGATATTTTTCTTGCAACACAAGTCTCAAGTCTTCAACATTTTCAAAAGGTTTAAATCCATGGTTCAGCTGCAGAGTGGTTATCAAATCAAGAAACTCAGAAGTGATAGGGGTGGAGAATATACCTCTCTAGAGTTTTCAAAGTTCTGTGAAGATATGGGATTAGAAAGGCAATTGACTGTTGCCTACTCTCCGCAACAAAATGGTGTTGCAGAGAGAAAGAATAGGACAATAATTGAAATGGCAAGAACTATGATGATTGAAACGAAGATTCCCTTTAAGTTTTGGGCTGAAGCTGTCAACACAGCTGTGTATCTGCAAAACTGATGTCCAACAAGTGCTCTGAACAACATAACTCCATTTGAGGCATTTAGTGGGAGGAAGCCGGGTGTCAAACATTTGAAGATATTTGGTTCCATGTGTTATATACACATTCCTTCACAGAAAAGACACAAACTGGAGCAAACTGGTGAGAAGGGAGTATTTGTTGGATATGGAAACTGTGAAAAAGGATATAGAATCTTCAACTTGAGAACTCAAAAGATTGAACTATCAAGAAGTGTAATCTTCGATGAGAAAGTAATATGGGACTGGGAAACAAATGAATCAGTTCAAGTTCCTAGTCCTTGGAATGATGAAATAAGTCCAAGGATATCTGAGTGTGATCCAGACTCAAGTGATTCACCTCAGTCAATGCAGTCTCCTCTGAGATCACAATCAACTGGAGACCTGCAAGCATCTCAAGAACCTGGTTCACTTGATTCTCCAGTTCCAATCTCTGAAAGTTATGATCATACTCCACAGAAATGGAAGAGTTTGAGTGAAGTATATGCTCAATGCAACATGAGCATCATTGAACCTGAAGATTTCAGTGAGGCAGTCAAAGATGATGCTTGGAAAAAGGCTATGACAGAAGAAATATTGATGATTGAAAAGAATTCCACATGGGAATTAGTTGACAGACCTAGTAGTAAACCTGTTGTGGGTGTGAAGTGGATATACAAAACAAAGTTGAATCTTGATGGCTCCATTCAAAAACACAAGGCAAGACTTGTAGCCAAAGGTTACACACAGAAACCAGGGATTGATTTTAATGAAACCTTTGCTCCAGTGGCAAGGTTAGATACTATTAGAACACTCATTGCACTAGCTGCACAGAAAGGTTGGAAACTGTGGCAATTAGATGTTAAATCAGCCTTCCTGAATGGTGTTCTTGAGGATGAGGTATATGTTGATCAACCTGATGGTTTTGTGATTAAAGGGGCAGAAGACAAGGTTTATAGACTGAGAAAGGCTCTCTATGGTCTAAAACAGGCACCAAGGGCCTGGTACAGTGAAATTGATACATATTTAATTCACTGTGGATTTCACAAAGCTCAAGTGAAGCAACTTTATATGTGAGAAGCAAGGAAGGTGTTGGCATCTTGATCGTGTCAATCTATGTTGATGACATTGTGTACACAGGGAGCAATGCAGAAATGATGGAAGAATTCAAAGCTAAAATGATGTGCAAATATGAGATGTCAGATTTGGGTTTACTTCATCACTTCCTTGGAATGGGGGTAACTCAAACTGAAGGGAGTATATTTATACATTAGAAAAAATATGCTCTAACACTTTTGGATAAATTTGGGCTCAAAGATTGCAAACCAGTGAGCACTCCATTGGTTGCAACTGATAAATTGAGAAGAGAAGATGGAAGTGAACCTGCAGATGAGTGTGAATATAGGAAAATAGTTGGAAGTCTTCTGTATTTAACAGCAACTAGACCAGATATTATGTTCTCTGCTAGTGTACTTGCACGATTTATGCACAAGCCTACCAAGAAACATTATGGAGCTGCTAAACGAGTCCTAAGGTACATTCAAGGAACAATTGACTTTGGAATTGAATATTTGAATGGAAAATCTGTCTTGCTGATTGGATATTGCGATAGTGACTGGAGTGGATCTGAGGAGGATATGAAAAGCACCTCGGGTATGCTTTTTCATTTGGAAGTGGGGCATTCTCATGGGCTTCAGTCAAGCAGCACAGTGTAGCTCTTTCAACTGCAGAAGCAGAGTATGTTAGTGCAGTTGAAGCAACATCTCAGGCCATTTGGCTTAGGTTTGTGCTTAAGGACTTTGGAGAAGAGCAAGCTGCAGCAACATCACTATTCTGTGATAACACTTCAGCTATAGCTATGTCCAAGAATCCTGTGTTTCATCAAAGAACCAAGCACATTGGCAGGAAGTTTCACTTTATTCGAGATGCAATTCAAGAAGGTACCATTGATCTGATTTACTGCAAGAGTGAAGAGCAAATTGCAGACATCTTTACCAAGGCTCTTCCCAAAGACAGATTCAACAAATTGAGAAGTTTACTGGGTGTGAAATCAGTTAACAATTTAGAAGGGAGTGTTGAAAAGTAAATTGCTTACTAATTTCAAGTTAGTAAATGATTTACTTATCTATTTTATCTTTGTTCTATTGAGTAGCTGTTTTATGTTGTGATAACTTGTGCTCATATGCCAAGTTTATGATCTTAGATCAGGTATCTTTTCAATGGCTCATATGCTCTGTTCTGCCATGTGTCAAAATCACATTGGCTCATGTAATTGAACGGTTATGATGGCTGATGTAAAAGGAAGGAATGAATATGAATGAAACGTTGCTCTCTGTTGTGTTGCAGAGTTGCAGTTGTGAAAACTTTGTCTCTCATTCTCTCTGTCTTTTCAGCTTCCTCTAAAATCCAATTCACATATATATCAGATTTCTAAGAAAACTTAACAATTAACACACCTGAAATGCTGAGTTTTTGCTGTAGCTGTAGAGGCTATCTCCACCGTTCATCGGATACGCCACCAATTCTGCCATTTCTCTCTCTCTCTCTGTCTTATCTTGTGGATCAATCGTTGATCCTCTCCTGATCAAGTCCCCTATTTATACCACTCGGAAAATTTTGACCAGTAAAAAGAAAGAACAAAAGTGTAATTTTTTAATGAAAATTAATTAAGACATTGATAGACTAAAATGAGCACATGCATGCATCACCTTTAGTCGTCAAAATTTACCCGAAATTAAAACAACCAATCACTAAACTACAATAATTTACAAAATCATATATTACATCTGAACATTTGAAAATGGTCATAAATTTAAGCATGCATATAGCCATTACGTGGTCAAATTTGGTCAAAGGGAATAAAATGTTGGCACGACAAGTCTAGAAAACTTTTATATGTCGTCATCGCGTGCGTCATGGATGTTGTTGCTCAAACTTGTCAAATCTAAGCCAAATTGTATGGACTGTTATTCGTCCGTCGGAGCGTTATTCGTCCGTCGGAGCGTTAAGATGCTGCCTACAACAAACTGTGCTGCCACCTGAGTTACTTAAGAATCGGCGGCGCGGAGCGTTATTCGTCCGTCGTTTGTCGTTCGAAGGGGATACTCAGGTAGGCTGATCCAAAGGTGACGCTCAGGGAGGTTGATCTGAATGGGCGCTATGGAAGAGGATTGTGCGTTCTTAGCTCAAGCAAAACTCGTGTCACACGTAACGGTAAAGAATTTCTGTTATTGTAGACTTAATTTGTGCAAAACACGAATCCCAACTTAAATCAACATATAACAACAAGGACTTATGTCCAATTACTAATAATTTGGCAAGAATTCAAATGTCACGTATTAATTCTTACTCTATTTCTAATTTAAGTATGAAATTTGCTAAATTAATCAAACTATATCAAAATAATTTGTATCACTTGACTTATCTTCTCCAATACTTTATACCTATATATATATATATATATATATATATATATATCCTATATAGATGTTTTCTTTAATAAAAAAATTTAGATGTTTGAGGAAACAATGGTTGCAACTCTCTCAGCAAGTATTGTTGACACCTAAGTATGTGAGAACGCATAACTTGTATGTGCAAATAAACGTTTTTTTTTCGGGAGAAGTCCCTGATTTTGTTTACCTGATACTTGACCGTCAACAATTTCTTTTTCTTTTTTTTTCACTCGAACGGTTCAAGGCTACGGAGAAATGCTCATTTACCTGACTTGATTTCATTTGAGTTTATTTGAGTTTTTCAGAGTTTAGATATAGGCAAGAGATGCTTTTGTCGTATTAAATAAGAACTAGACTTTGTATGTGCTCTTTTTCAGTACTCGGGTCGGGGTATTTCGATTTCCTTACGAAAGGGTTATAACCAGTTAGTTGCTCTCGATCTATTTAAATTTTGTATTAATGAGTTGCAATTTTTGTTGGTTCTAAAGGGACGAAGATAATCTGCAATACGACTAGAGATATATCTCGGTGAGACAACAAATTTTTTCGAACGAAAGGATTCACCATTATTACTTGCCGGTCTCGTGTAGCATGTTGCAGTTTAGTGCTACTTTCACAACCCAACACATAGTTGAACGGAATGTGATAGTTTCATAAAAAGTCGATGACTAGTTCACGAATTTTTCGTTCAATACTTATGCAACTATCTCATTCTTTTTTTGTATAAATTGAATTTATCTTCTCCAATGCTTTATTTGTTGCAAATCAATTCTCTCTATATGAACCCAAACAGATACCTAAATTATATCTCTCTGTATATGTTTGTCAATCAAAGATATTTGAGGAAACTAACCGTTGTAACTCTGTGCAAGTATTTTTGAGATCTACTAGACAATCTAAATGTTAAAAGTTACCATAAACTTTTCTTGGGGTGCAAAAGTGAAATTGTTAGGATGCCACGTGTCAGCATCATATTAATAGTATATGTTGTATAAATAGGCAGATTAGGGAGGAAAAGCGTTGTTGATTTTATAATAGTTGTAATAGAGATCTTCTCTGTAACACAAGTTGTTGTGCAATTGAGAAAGAAGCGGGGTTGGGTTATAGCATTGGTATCAGCCAATTGTTTGATTTCTCTCAATCATTTCCTCGTTGTATGACGCGTCTCGCTTCGTGTAAGGCTATGGAATCTCGCGTCCCAAAGCTGGGAGTCATGTTCGCTGAACGAAGTCAAGAGCAGTCAAAACCTAATCTTGAGCAACTGCAGTTGCTTATGGCGAGAGGTGGTGGTGGATTGGTCATGCAATTTTCGAAGCCAACCCATGCAGATTCTCATTTCCAGGAGGGGATGTCATGGTAGGAACGTTTTGTCGGAAAAAAAAAAAGGAAAACTAATGAAAAGGGTTTGAAAACTTTGAGTTTTAATGATAAGGACAAAATAAAGGGTAAAGTGAATAGTATCATGATTGACTTTTTAGTGTAAAAATGTGGTTTTTCGTTAAAGTGAACAGTACCGAAAGCTTTTCGTTAAAGTTCCAAAAAAAAAAAAAGTAAGAGCCCACTTACCTGTTATAAGAGTAGAGGTGACAAAGTGTAATTCTAAATTTTTTAAATTTTATTGAGAAAAATATAATTTTGTATATGAGTGCACTCTAACATCTTCGATGCATTAGTGGAACTCGAACTTTATAACGACAATTAGATTAGAGTCGTTTTTTTTTTTTTTTTTTTGGCAAAATATTATAACAAATTAACAATATAACCTTCTTTTTTTCTTTTGACACAATCATTTGGAACTCTACCATTTTATCTTACTTTTCTTTCTAGAGTGAACATTTCTCTTTTCACTATTTATTTGTTTAATAAACGATATTATCTACACTAAAGAGGAGGGAATGTGCACTCTACCATTTTATCTTACTTTTCTTTCTAGAGTGAACATTTCTCTTTTCACTATTTATTTGTTTAATAAACGATATTATCTACACTAAGGAGGAGGGAATGGGCTTAGCTTCATTATAGGCTAGCAATAATGTGATTCAAATTTGCCTTTAACAAGAATCGAACCTAAGACCTCTCACTTACAAGTGAAGAGAAATACCATTAGACCGTAGTACTAAGTAACTTCTCCTTTCACTTTTTGTTTCTTAGTAATAATCCATGTTGATTGAGAGGTTACGCATATGTGGTACACTAAAATGCAACACATCAAACTAATATATATGATAATGGTCAACGGAAAAATAAATAGCAAGTGAAGATTCAATACAAATTTTTGTTCTACAAATTTAAATAAGCAAAATGTGAGGTAGTCATAATAAAACGCCAAGCATAACAAATTAACAACATAACCATTTTTTTTTACAGAATCATTTGGAACTCTACCATTTTATCTTGGTTTTCTTTCTAGAGTAGAATATTTCTTTTTTCACTATTTATATTTTTTAATAAACGATATTATCTCTTGCTTTTCTTTCTAGAGTAAAACATTTCTCTTTTCACTATTTATTTTTATTTTTTTAATAAACGATATTATCTACTCTAAGGGGAATGGAGTGTGCTTAGCTTCACAATGGACTAGCAATAATGTGGTTCAAATTTGCATTTGGCAATAATTGAATCTAAGACCTCTCACTTATAAGTGAAGAGGAATATCACTAGACCGTTAGTACTAAGTGACTTCCCTTTTCACTTTTTGATTCTTAGTTTTGATCCATGTTGTTTGAGAGGTTAAGCATATGTGGTACACTAAAATGCAACACATCAAACTATTATATATATGATAATGGTCGACGGAAAAATAAATAGCAGGTGAAGATTCGATACAAACTTTTGTTCTACAAATTTAAATAAGCAAAATGTCCGGTAGTCATAATAAAACGCCAAGCATAATAATGAGCAAAGAAAATACAGCTATAGGTTCATAAATTATAACATTCACAACAGCACATTCAAATCAAATTTCCTTGCGTTTTAGCGCAACAAAAAACTGGATTGTTCTCCCTGACTCAATCATAAACCGTTGCTCTTCAAACTTCTTACTGTACAAGTCGAAAAGCTCGTCTAGGATTTCTTCTCCGAAATGCTGCTTGATGAGTCCCTCCAAGATTGCCCTCAGATGAGATGCAAAGTTTGCCAAGACACTGTCATCTACGTTCATGTGAGGCAAATGTTCCATTCTCTCTATGCTAAAACATCCGTTTTGCTCTACAACGGCTTCCAGTTCTTGAGCAGACGTGAAATACATAGGTACATTGAAAGAATCTACTCTCTCTTCCAGAATAACACCCTGCATTGAGGAAGAACATCAACATATAGCGCAACTCAACAAAGAAAAATCATGAACTCAAATACGTGACATAAAATTCTCAAATTTCTTTCACCTAGTATTACCTTTCTAACCATTTCCATTAGGCAAGCTCCTAAAAGTTGGAAGGTCGCACTTGCCAAATGAGGGGTACCATTGGGGCGGCCTGGAACGATGAGTACCATCAGTCCTCCGCGCACAATCTCTTGTGCCCTGGCATTCAGAAAGCACTCCATGTCCTCAGCATGTTGAGCTTCGTAAGCCCTTACTACTTCATCGGTTGAATTTGAGTATTCGATTCTCCCTTTGTTCCAAGCAGGACTGTATCTGTCCGCTACATCTTTTGGCACTCTAGAAAGCCAATGAACTGTGAAAGAAGAGTAGAAAAAATGAATTGAAGCGTTAGGAAATATGCGACCATGGAAAGAACCAGGCACGCCGGCTGCATAGTATCGCCTGTTGCGAGGGAGGGATTTGAAGAGCGTGTTAAAATCGTTCGCAGTGTGATCATTGAAGAAAACTTGAAATTCGGGGAATTGGGAATTCATCATATTAGATTGATACTTGAGCTGCACGGCCTCGAGTATGGTTTCAACCACAGAAAATGTGTTAGGCCCAACGGAGCAACCCAAATCCGCAATCCGAAAGGTGTTGGAAGATCGAAAAATTTCTATGTCAAGCTTTTCTGCAATTTCCTTGACTGTAAGTTGTTTGGCAAAATCCACATATTTTCCCTACAAATAGAGACTGAGCATGTTAATTTTATTTTAAGGGATTCATAATTTCCCTAATCCATCTGATTAGCAGTCACTAATTACAAATAGATTTGTAGATGTAGGAGTAAATTAGTTTCGGTTTGGACTGCAATTCACACAACCAACAAAATGTACAGATAGTTTTCGTCACATATTATTTGTGTTTAATTTTAGGAGGGTGTATTCAATTGAGAATTTGAGAGATTTTAATGGATTTATAAATCCATGGATTTTTATGGAGTTTAATTGATTTGTAGAGATTCCATGTAAAATTTTGATTCAATTCCCTCGAAATCTCTTGGGGGGAGGTGAGATTTGTGGATGCTCAAAATACACTACGAAATCTCTCCAATTCCCTCTAATTCCTCAACTTTCTCAAATTCTTTAAAATCAAATTCTAATTGAATACACCTGGAATGTTATAAACTTCTTTAAAATTCTAATTGAATACACCCGGATTTCTAAGGATTTTCATAAACTATCTTAAAATCTTGATTGAATACACATTGAATTTCAGAGAATCACTTAAATTCCTGATTGAATACCCTTAGATTCATTAAAAGAATTAAAATCCCTCAAAATCCTAATTGAATACACCCCCCTTAAATAAGAAAAGTCAAATAATTTCTGACTGTACGATGTACTGATGTGAGGATCCCTAGGATCCTCACAATTTGGATCCGGATGGGATCCAAATCCTTTTCAAACCTCCTACATTTTCTTTAATATAGAAACAACTTTATGTCAAAAATCCCACATCAGTTAGAGAAAGAAACAAATAAGAGTTTAGATATCTCAATCTCATTTCAACTAATATCGAGACTTTTGGTGATAAAATTGCACACTTGACTAATTATGCAGATGGTAATTATCAAATTAAGGACAATATCTATCTTGTTGAAAGTGGGCCGTATTGCTTGTCTCTCTAATAATTCTACACTTTATAAGATAAACTTCAACATCACATTCATACACACTATAAAATAAACGCCGTCTTAATATCGTAGAACTCTTTTTTATATAAATATAAATATTTCATGAATGGAATTCCAAGATTAAGACTTTCTACGAAAAGATTAAATCTTTGGCTAGTCACATTAAATTTCTACAAATTTTTTTTACTATGGACTGACCAACCCCATCTCTCCATCTATTTCACTTACAATAAAAGTAAAAATAAAAATAGTAAAAAAGAACCTGGACAGTGGAGTTGTTGGCGTAGCTGTTGGGTCCATCTCCGCCGTTCATTGGAAATGCTTCGCAAAATTCACTGCTGTCTTGTGCTGCTGCCATCTCTCTCTCTCTCTCTCTCTCTCTGTCTGTCTCTGCTCCAAACTTGTAAAGTGAAAAGATGGTCGTTTTCTTGTTCTTTTGACAGTGACAGATCCAATTCGCAAGATCTAAGGCTTTCCTCCTATCCTCCTACTCTCTCCTCTTCTCTTCATCTGAGCCGTTCGGATTTATTTGATGTAATCCAACGGGTCTCTAAATAGCCACTTCACCTTCTGGACCAAATACTCTAATTCCTCTAATACCCTTATATTTTTATCTTGTTTTTAAACAATCAACTTCTAATATGTTTGTCCTTTGGCAAGTTTTTCTAATGGTAGAAAGTTTAGATAGCAACATGAAATTTTTTGAGTGTCAAGTAATAATTCTCTTTTCTTTTACATTAATTGTTTCTCATCTTCTTTTTTTTTTTGTTTTTTTTATGTCCTGTTTTTTGTCAAACTTAGTTATAGTTATTTCCATTAAATAAAAAACTAGTACAAAGAAAAGATGGTCGAAAAGACAACCCACAATCTATTACAAGCCCAACATGAAAAATATTGCAAAAGAAAGGCCTAAAAGGAGCCAACTGAAAAATAACAATAAAATCCTAAAATCAGAGAGGAAACCAGCATCCACCACCAAGTCAAATGTGCCTCCAACGCAAGGCCACCACCAACGAAAAATGGAAGTGAGCGAGTGCACAGTGAACGCTCCCATAATCCTACCGAAGAGTGCAAATAGCATTTTAACATCCACCCAACACCCAAGCGCATGGCCAAGGAAAAGCACCCGGATTGAATAGCAAAGGGTGGTGGTTGAGGACGCATGATGGAAATTAGCATCAAAGCAAGAGAAAGGCGTGAAAGCCCATATCTAAGACAAGCTTAGATGAATTGGGACAAAGCTCAAGGAAATCTGAAGCACATATCAAAAGTAAGGAAAGGCATAAACTAAAAGGGAAACAGAGAAGGAAGAGAAGTTGGAGTTGGAAAGGAAGGCTGGAAGGGCCATCGACCACACCCAAAAGTAGGAGTTGGCGGCAAAGAGAGTTAGGGTTTTTATGATTTTAGTGAGAGGGAAAAGGGCGAGAGTCATCAACAACCATGTCACATGGTTTACAAAATTTAGTCTAAGTAATTGGTCTCCCTAGTATTACCCGAACTTTGGGATAGAAAAAAAGGGCCACACCTAACTAAACTCAAATCAAGACATTAAGGTACAGCAAATCTAAATCACATTCAAGGAAGGAAAATTGCTTGTAATTTGTTCTTCCTTCAAAATATCGCCTTGATCTAGGAAAGCAACTCAAAAGATAAAGAAGTGTCGTTAATTTCTTCGTTCTAATAAGTAAAGTGTAGAGTTCATGAGAATGAACCTGGCAAGTAGAGTTCATGGCATAGTTGTCCCAACCATCTCCGCCTTTCATCGGAAAACCTTCACAGAACTTGCTAGCTTCCTCTTCTGCTGCCATCTATCTCTCTCTCTGTGTGTGTGTAATTTATATGTACTGGTGAGTGTGACGGATGAGAAGCTGCTATACGTGACATTAATCCATGCATTCAAGGTAAAAAGCTTTAACTATGCGACACATGAACTTCATGCATAGTGTAAGTCGGAGAAAAAGCTAAAAGTGCTCATTGGTGAAACACCCCAACCCCATTTATTTTAAAATAATTGTTTGGACCTAAATTGGTGAGCCAAAGGGCCCACCCCTTTTATTTTGTCCCCCGGTCTATCTCATCTTTGCCCTTCCCTGTGTTCTCCCCTTTATTTCTCTCTCGAAATCTTCTCTTCCTCACTCCCCGATCTCTCACCTTTCGACCCACACCTGAGAACACCCACACCTGCAACTACTCTACTCGAGAACATCATCATCGAGCATTGCTCTGGTCTCTCTTCCGTCGCAGCGTGATTGGTGAAAGCAGAGAAAATGACCTTCGGCGAGTTCCTCGTTGCTTCGACGATAGGTAAGCCTCGGGACTTCTCTCTCTATCTATGTACTCTATATCCCTCTGTCACTTGAAAACATTCTCATCCCTCCCTCTTTCTTTTGCACCGTGATTACACACACCCACAGCTGCTCGAGGACATCACTATCATCTCGTCGTCCCTTTCTCTCTCAACGTGCGAGGCTTGACGGAGCCCAGGAAAACCCAGCGAACCCGTGGGCACCCAAACCCGAATTTTGAACACCACCGGCCGTTCCAAGGTAAACCAAGGGTATAACCTCACTCCCCTCTCTTTTCTCTTTAATTTAATGCATAAATAAGAGCTTAGGGTGTAGTTGGTCGGAGCTGTAGAAGCTCCGGTGAGCACCAGGCCTAAGGGTCTTTTCCTTTTATTTGGGGCTTAAAGCCCGGTTTTTGGTAACTAGGCCCGCGGGCCGTGCCTTGTGGGTGTGTTTGGGCTGTGTGTGTTGTGTGGTGTGTCCGTGTGTGTGTATGTATATTTAGTGTGTGTGTGTGTGTGTATGTATGATTGTGTATGTGCGTATGTGTATATGTATGCACGTGTGTGCGTGTTACCGTGTGTGTGTGCATGTGTTGTGCACGTGTGTGGTATGTTGTGTGTGTGTGTAAGTGTGCATGTGTGCTATGCACGTGTACATGTGTGTTGTGCAGCATGTGTGTGTGTTGTGTGTGGGTTTGGGATTAAGCCCAAACTACCCTTTTTATTTCTAGGCCTATCTAAAACCAAAACCCAATATATCATAATCCTATTTAACCTAAACCCTAATCCGGATTCAAGCCTCAAACCCATTTGACCTAGTTTGACCGTTGACCCCCGGTCAACGTTGACTTTTTGGGTTTTCGTCCAAGACCCTTCTTAGGGTAATTCGACGTCCTGAACCCATTTTCAATGTCCGTTTTCCCAAATTCAATCGTTTGACTAAATGTGCTATTTATGTGCTTAGGGGCAATTATTGTGACGCTTCTGTCTTCGCTAGTGACGCAGCTTTTGACGGCTAAGTATTGTGAGTGGACCCCTTCTAAAATTACATGATTTTATAGTTTAATTACATAAATGAATAGCATGCTTACGAGTTTATGATTTGATTTTATGTTAAGCCTGTTTATTAAATATATTGATTTCGTCGTGTTTTTGGTGAGGAATTAATTATTGGCCTATTTTGAGCTATATTTTAATATATAGTATTTTCTATAAAAACCATAAACTGGTAGACTATCTGATGGATGACGATAGGATGCTAGAACATGTTTTCGAAACCCCTTTTTATAGTATAGACAATAGATGACTTTATACTATAAAGTGGTTATTTATGAGAGGCGTAACTATTTGTGCGTACCTAGTGGACACTATGCCGCCTGGGGCGAGGATCTGGTGTTGGCAGATAAGCCGAGAGAAATAATCCCTAGCTACGGGCTGAGGGACATGGAGCAGGCATTGGGCCAGGAGTTGGTAATCTCTGACTACGGGCGCAGAGACCACAGAGCAGGCATTGGGCCGGGAGTTATATTTATTCAATGATCCTTCTAGCATCATACCACGCTTACGAGACGATTTATGGGACGTTTACTGTTTTGATTTCTGCGATATGACTTTTGAGATATTTTGGCATGCTAGAGTTTCAGAAAAACCTATCACTTATTATGTTAATAGTTTTCATTATATATAAACCTAGGGGTTAGTATGTTCATAACTGTTTTTGTATTATGTATATATATGAACTTGGTCCACTCACCCTTGTTTTGCGCCCCCTTTCAGGATTTAGAATCTAGGCATACGATCCCGACATCAACGTTTTCGCATTGGCATATTCGAGTCCTCTCGGTGTAGGACCCTCATCTTTTTATTTATTCAATTTTATATTAATTCTTTTAGAACTCTAGTTAGTTGTATGCTCTGAGCACGTTCCTAAATTTCTAATTCATTGTATTTTTAAATTCATAACCTTTATTTATTTCTTATTCTTAGCTTTTGTATCAATTAATGGTTTTCGTCACCCTCGGGTGTCGGCCAGCACGTGTCTATCCTGGTATTCGGGAATATCAGGGTCGGGGCGTGTCACTTGGTGTAAGAAGCGCTTTCTGAAGAAGCATTTGTGAGATGCTTTTTTTGGTGAAGCAGTTAGGTAGATTTTCAGTGTGTTTGCTCCCTAAATCCGCCATGGTGCCTTGCGGGTAAGCCGATGATTTACTTCACATACGAGATTGGTGGGTGCGGGCGTGCCACTACTAGATGCCGCTAGTAGATGGGATTTAAATGATTGAGGTTGCGCCTTTTGACTTCAAATCAAGAGATTGTGCCTATTTGAGTGGGAGTTGCTCAAATCAAGGTTCTTTCTTTGCCTTAAAAATAAGGACTTTACTTATATGGAGAGGTAGAACAATATGTAAATGACAAAGGAAAGTGAATGACTAATATTGTAGATTGCTTGTAATTTATATGACTGGAAATTAGTACATAAAAGCTACAAATGAGATCGATACCGCAAGTGAGCAGCAAAGCTAATAAACTAGATAAAAGAAGGTTTTTGGCCAATTTGGTTTGAGCAGAGTTTGTGCTTGTATTTGTTTGGTTGTTTGAGTGTCTATAATCCTTGTGTTTGGGCTCCTTTAAATAGAGATCTGGAGGAAACCCCCTGCTGAAGACACTGCATCTGCCCGAAAGAAACTTGGGCAGTTTGTATTTCATTTGCCAACTTGCATGGAGAAATAATATTAAAAGGGAAACTTGCATCTCTACCACATACTTTCATCACATGTTTTCCCACTTGTAATAAACTAACATTTAAAAGAAGCAAGTTGGCTCTTTCACATGTTCCTTGTTCGAAAGCTCTCATGGTGCATTCTCATCCACTTGCATGAAAAAACATGCATTTGTCTTTGATTAAACAACTTTCTTGGCAAACCTCCACCACCAAAACAAATGGGAAAAACAATATTATAATGTCAAACCCATCCACTTGCAACCAAATATCTTTCCAATTTAGCTTTCTTGCACATTAATCCTTCAAATACCATATTTTACCCAAATTGCCCAAATAAGTAAAAATAGGTATATTTTGAGTGTAAACACAGTGAAAGGTTCAACGTGTTTGTATGAAATTAGGAAATTGAAGAAACGGTCGTGAACAGACGTGTTTCCTACAAAATCACCCCATGAAAGACAGAACAGTAGAAACGCTTATGAAGATTACTACAGGAATTGAAAAACAGAACGGTGGAAACTACATTTAGAAGCTAATGGGAAGATTATCCCATGATTCCAAACATAATATAAGTTCCAATCTCTAAGCCTTGCGTTTAAGCACAACGAGAAAGCTTATCGACTTTCCTGCATCAAAGATTGAGGATTGCTCTTCAATTTTCTTGCGGTATAAGTCAAAGACCTCGTCTAAGATTTCTTCTCCGAAATGTTGTTTGATGACTCCTTCCATTGCAGCTCTCATGTGAGTTGCAAGCAGTTTGGCTTTAGAGACATTGTCCGGGGGCACGAAAGCAGGTAAGTTCTCTATTCTCTCCATGCTAAAACATCCATTTCGTCCTACCACAGCTTCCACTTCTCCGGGAGACATGCAGTACATAGGTACGTTAAAAGAGTCTACTTTCTCCTCATCAACTATTCCCTGCATTAAACAAAAAACGCACAATTATTGTAAAATCGGATACAAAGTTCTCTTCCGTTTCTGATTTATAACATATTAGACTGTTTACGCGATTGCGTATTTGTGTACCTTTCTAACCAAGTCAACGAGGCAAGATCCTAAAATTTGGAAGGTCATATTTGCCTGAGAAAGAGAATGAGGGGTACCATCAGGGCGGCCTACGATGATAAGTACCATCAGTCCTCCGTACACAATCTCTTGTGCCCTGACATTTAAGCACTCCATGTCCTCGGCGTATTGAGCTTCATAAGCCTTTAGTACTTCATCGGTCGAATTTGAGTAATGAATTCGTCCTTTGTTCCACGCCATACTGTTTCTGTCCGCTACTTCTTTTGGCACTCTAGAAAGCCAGTGATTGGCATATGAGGAGTGAACAACTTGTACAGAAGCATTAGGAAATAGGCGACCGTAGAAAGAGCCAGGCACGCCCACTGCACAGTATCGTCTGTTCTGAGGGAGGGATTTGAAGAGCGTATTAAAATCATTCGGAGTATTGTCATTAAAAACGACTTGAAATTCTGGGATTTGAGCATTCAGCCCTTGGGTTTGGCACTTGTGCTCCACGGCTTCGAGTATGTTTTGGACAGAATAAAATGTGTTAGGACCAACAGAGCAACCCAAATCTGCAATGGTAAAGGTTTTGGACGATGATAAGATTTCGATATCGAAGTTTTCTGCAATTGCCTTGCTTAGAAGTTCTTTGGTAGCATCCACAACTCCTCTCTGCACAACAGAAGATTACTTTTATACATACATAAATACACACGCATACACACATAGATACAATCTAAGAATGCTATAAAAGAACCTGGAACGTTGAGTTTTTCGCATAGCCATCGGAGCCATCTCCACCTTTCATTGAAAATGCTTCTGAGAATGTGCTGGCTTCCGGTGCTGCCATCTCTCTCTCTCTCTCTCTCTGTGTTTTCTTGGAGGGGAGATGTTGTTTTGGTATATTTGTATTGCATCATCACTGCTACTTGACACCAATCAAAGACAGCAAAACTAATTAAGAAATGGAGAAGAAAGTACAACTGCAAAAGTCCATGGTGGTGATGCAATTTCAGACCAACTATTCAACTTTTTCTATGTTTTTTTGTTGTTGTTAAAGACTTTTATGCATAAAATCGAATAATATCTTATCTATGGTATATTTAGCAATTGAAAAATTCCTGGATGGAATTGCGTCTCCGTCCCTGGACTGCTTCTCCATACTCATACCACGTGGACTTACCTACAACAGGTACGTCACAGTGGTTGTATCCCAAACAAGGTATTAAATATCGATGATATCGGAAATATTGGTAGTTCAAAAACACGGAAATTTCTATGGAAATATCGGGATATTATCGATATCGATAAAAATTGAATAAAAACCATGGAAATTGTAAGAAAAACTTGGAAATTTTATTGAAACTTTGCAGAATGTTTATTTAGTCAATTATCTATTAGTTTATCACAAAAAAATTAGAAGGAAATGCATTGCATGATGGATTTAACTGATTTAAGTTGATTATACAGCGAGCTGGCAAACATTATGAGTGTAGAAAATATGTAGTAATTAATGAAAGAAATTTAAACACACCATAATCATTTATATATAATGAATTAGTATAATATTTTACATTTTATACATTGCATGGTAAGATACATGAGTGACTTAGTACCACATAGAGTTTCTATGAGGTTCAAAATTTTGACTATCTTCATCATCTCTATGTGTATAGTAAGTGTATTGTGAAGAGTAGTCATCAAATGATAAATCCCCAAAATAATTTTGCATGTAATTGTCAACATGCCACCCATATGGATCCGAGATTGGTTGATGTTGTCCATAAGCAAAATCATTTGAAGATTGAGTCTCAGATTCTTTCCATGAATCGCTCGATTCCATCCCAACAGGAATGGGATATAAAGGGTAGGGAAATGGTTGGTTATGAGTATAACCATAGTTACTACTTCCCACTCCAACAGAGTCCGACGTTATAGATAACAAGTCATCTTCTTGACTTGACAAAGTCCCCTTGCCTCTTTCTCTACAAGTATAGTCCTTCTCTATGACACTAATTCCTAGTCCTGCCCGCCTACTGCCATGGTCCTCATCCTGTGTTGCATGCGTGAAGTTTGCCTCACCAGTGAAGGGGCTCATAAATCCGGGAGGTGGTCCAACATATTGAAGACTAAACCTCACGATGGAACAAAATGGAAGACATTTCCAATAGCTTCAAAAAGCAGGGTGAATATATTGAAGACCAAACCTCACGATCACTGACACGTGGGCTGGATATTTTGAAAGCAGGTTTGGATTTTGTTTTCTTCTCTCGGATAACACACACACACACACACACACACACCCCACTTCCACACACACACACACGCATAGACCACTTCATTCTCCCTCATTCCTCTCCTCATTCATCTCCGGTTCTCCCCCCCATCTCTTTTCTGCAAGTCTTCTTCCCAGAGCAGACAGACACACACACACCCCACTTCCCCGTGTTTCCCCCTTCCCCAATCCCTCGAACCTTCTCCCTCATTCATGTCCTTGTTTCTTCTCCCCCGGAGCGCAGACCACCACACCCACACCCGCCGAGCACCACAGTGGCGCACACTCCGGAGAGCACCATCACCACCTGTGGACCGTTCCTCTTCCCTTTCTCACCTCCCGGTGACCACCATCAGGCAAGGGGATCCATCAAACAGTTTGATTCAAACTCGAGCGGGTTTTGGGATCCGGAGAAAATGGATTTTTCATTTCCGACAACGGAGGCGCAGATCTTGGGTCTGAGCCTGAATTGTAGAGAAAGATCTGGGCAGCTGCAACAACGCAGCCTCGACTACATTTTTGACGGCGGAGCCACGACGATTGTTTCGATAATATCGAATATATCGCGATATTTTGACGACAATTAGGGGGATACGTGGGAAAATATCGGTCTCTCTGAAAAACGATAATATCGGCGATATTTTGCCGATATTTTAGTCATTGATCCCAAATCATTAACACGGATTCATGTGCAAAAGTCAATACGTGACATGAACTTCATGCATAGAATGCACAGGGATGTTAAAAGTCGAAAGTTCTAGAGGAGATCAATGTCTAGCATTAACTGAAGCATAACTTTTGATTGGCTTATCAATGCGTTGCGGATGTGATAGATGATTCACTGTAATCGGAAAGTCTTTTGACAGCTTGACGAATGCCACAAAAGTGTGTTCAAATCAATTTTTCGTGCGCTTAAGAACAACAGGAAGGTTAATTGCCTTCCCAGACTCAAAGATGGATGGTTGCTCTTCGATTCTCTTGCGATACAAGTCAAAGAGTTCGTCTAAGATTTTGTCTCCAAATTGTTGCTTCACGAGTCCCTCAGTGGCAGCTCTAACATGAGATGCAAGTAACTGGCTAATTTTAGTAAATTGTCAAGTGCTGGGACACGACGTAAGTTTTCCATTCTCTCTGAGTCTCTGATAAAACAACCATTTCTCTCCACAGCAGCTTCGAGTTCTTGGGGAGACATGTAATACAAAGGTAGATTAAAAGAAGGGGATCTACTTTTTCTTCCCCAACTACTCCCTGCATAAAGGAAAAACACATAGAAGTCATTCCGTCGGATACATTATGGTGTTATATAATCAATCTTAGATCAGGGGGTCATTTTCTTACCTTCCTAGCCAAGTCCATGGGGCAAAACCTGAGAAGTTGATGAGCCTGGTTTAACGAAGAAAGTGTACGAGGGGTATCATTCGGGCGGCCTGGAATGATAAGCACCATCAATCCTCCATTCACAATCTCTTGTGCCCTGGCATGCAGGAAGCATTCTATGTCCTCAGTATGTTGAGCTTCATAAGCCCTTACGACTTCATCAGTGGAATTAGAATAAAAGATTTGTCCTTTTTTCACTCTTCATAAGAAGAGTGAACAAAGTGAATGGAAGCATTGGGATATATATGAACCTAGAAAGATCGGGTACGCCTGCAGCATAGTATTGCCGGTTCAGAGGGAGGGATTGGAAGAGCATGTTAAAATCATTTGGAGTGTGACCATTGGAGAAAATTAATAGAATACCATCAATTATATTTAGAGGCAAAGGTTTACAAACATCATTTAAACAAGAGCATCGATTTCTTCGTTCACAAGGCGAATCCAACAAATTTTTAAGGCAAAGGAAGTTTAACTGTAGCTTGACAAATACCAAACTTCATCGCATCAATTTGCCTTCCGCTTAAGAACGGCCACAAAGTTAATTGCAGTTGAAGTCCCCGCTGTAAGGATAGAGGGTTGTTCTTCAAGTTTCTTAAGGTACAAGTCAAAGAGCTCATCCAAGATTTCTTCTCTGAAATGCTGCTTGATGACTCCCTCAAAGGCAGCTCTTACGTGTGATGCGAGTTGGGTTAAAGGGACAGTGCGAGGAATCGGCACTTGAGGTAATGTTTCCAACTTCTCTAGGTTAAAAAGTTCATTTCTTTCTACAGAAGCTTCCAGTTCTTGGGGAGTCATGGCGTACAGAGGTATGTTATATGCATCTACTTCCTCTTCACTCACTACTCCCTGCACACATAGCAGCGATAAAGGAAATGTCTTTCGCAATTCTACGCAGCGCAATAATTGAAATATCATTTTTTCTTGTTGTTGCTTGTTAAGTTATATAGAAGTTATTTCATATGACAACACATATCATTGCTTACCTTTCTAGCCATGTCCATGAGGCAAGACCCTATAAGTTGAAAGGTCACATGTCCCATTGAATTTGAATGAAGGAGAGTATTGGGGTTGCCTGGAATGATGAGTACCATCAATCCTCCTTCTGCAATCTCTTGTGCCCTGGCATTTAGAAAGCACTCCATGTCCTCAGCGTGTTGAGCTTCGTAAGCCTTTAAGACTTCATCAGTGGAATCTGAGTAATGGATTCTTCCTTTGTTCCATGCCGGACTATTTTTGTCCACTACCTCTTTTGGTACTCTAGAAAGCCACTGAAGGGCATAAGATGAGTGAAAAAAGTTAATAGAACCATTAGGAAATAGGCGGCCGTAGAAAGAACCAGGCACGCCAGCAGCATAGTATCGCCTGTTCTGCGGGAGGGAGTTGAAGAGCTTGTTAAAATCATTGAGAGTATGATCATTAAAGAAGACTTGAAATTCAGGGATTTGTGAGTTCAGCCCTTGGCTTTGATACTTTAGTTCAACAGCTTCGAGTATGTTTTCAACAGACAAAAAAGTATTTGGCCCGACCGAGCAACCCAAATCGGCAACGCGAAAGGTGTTAGAAGATAACAACACGTCTGTGTCAAGCTTTTCGGCAACTGCCTTGCTTATAAGTTCTTTTGCAGAATCCACGGCTCCTTTCTGCAAAAGTGCAAAAACCCCCGTCAACATATTTTTTAATCTATTTGCTACATGTTAATATAACCATACACAAAATGCGTCAATCTTAGTAAACATTGAGATGAAACCATTATCGGAGTTGTTAATTGCTGCTTCGCAAGAGATCATCAAAATCTTGAGTAACAGAATGAGCGTTACAAAAGAACGGTTTTCGCAATTAAACAAGAAATTGAATCCTCATTACCTGCAAAGTTGAGTTGTTGGCGTAGCTGTTGGGACCATCTCCACCGCTCATCGGATGTGCTTCGGGTTCAGAGAAGTTACTGGTTTCCTCCTCAGCTGCAGCCATCTCTCACAGTTTCTTTCTCTGGGAGTGGGGTTTTATGTCATTATCGTATCTTGAGGGGCATATATAGAGATAATCAAAACACAGAAACAAATTAATTAAAAGTAAATTTAATAGTTAATGGTAATGAAGCAGTGTAAGACAAATTGGACGGCTAGCTTAATAAAATACAATGCAATTATATGTAAATCCAAAGGTTTTCAAACAGATTTAATATATTTTGCAGGCTAGAGAGTATCTCGCTCCTGCAGCGAATTTTCGGTTACGAGGGGAATCCGACATTTCCATCTTGTCCTTCCAAGCCACTTGAGGTAAGTATCGTGAAATTCACACTTTGTTTTTGCTACAGATTTAATATATTTTGCAGGCAGCGAATTTTCGGTTATACAAGGGGAATCCGACATTTCCATCTCGTCCTTCCAAGCCACTTGAGCTAAGTATCGAGAAATTTACACTTTTTTTGCTACCTTTAGTTCTTCTCGTCTCATTTTTATACCTAAAGTTACGTTTTGTTCACATATTCATACTTTTGTTACTCTTTCCGTCAAGTGTGCTGTTAATTGATGACGAGTAAGTGACTAGGCCACCAGGCCACCAGGCCACCAAATTTTCCAGATGTGACCAATTAAATAAACATTGAAAATTAATTCTTAATGAAAAATTAAACCAAATGTGATTCTTTGACTCCAATTCTGTTTGATAGGTTTAATTCAATTTCTTGACCGATAATTACTACAAGTTGGAAGAATCAGCGTTTATTCTCTACGGTGACGAGTCGACGACCATGATAACTAATCTGGTGTGGGGGTTTGAAGAAAGAGAGAGGAGGGCTGGTGATGGCGAGGAGGAGACACCGTAACGATCAATTTGCCTTGCGTTTAAGCACAGCAAGATAGATAATCGGCCTCCCTAACGCATACTCGAGGTGTTGCTCTTCGAATTTCTTGCAACACAAGTCGAAGAGCTCGTCTAAAATCTCATGGCCAAAGTGCTGCTTGATAAGCCCTTCTATGGCAGCTCTGATGTGAGATATGAATAGTTTGCCAATGGAGCCACTGCCTTGTGGAAATGGCAGATTTTCGATTCTCTCCACGTTAAAGCATCCGTTGAGTTCTACAGCAGCTTCCAATTCTTCCAGAGACATATAATATATCGGCACGTTGAACGAATCTACTTTCTCTTCGCTAACCATGCCCTGCAGAAGGGAAAACTAGAATGTTAGTAAAGTTCAATCAAAGATATTTCATCTTCCAATTTTTCATCTATCACATATTAAATATGGGATAATAATGTTTGAAGTCACAACATATTTTCATTACCTTTCGAACCATCTCCATAAGACAAGATTCTACTAGTTGATGAGTCCCGTTTCGCGCTGCACGAGGATAAGAGGTTTCGTGAGGGAGGCTAGGGAGGCCTGGAATGGTAAGTGCCATCAGTCCTCCATGCACAATCTCTTGTGCCCTGGCATGGAGGAAGCACTCCATGTCCTCGGCATGTTGAGCTTCGTAAGCCCTTACTACTTCGTCCGTGGAATTTAGGTAATGGATTCGTCCTTTATTCCAAGCAGGGGAGTTCTTGTCTGCAACCTCTTTCGGCACTCTAGACATCCAATGAATGGTAAAAGAAGAGTGGAAAAAGTGAATCGAAGCGTTAGGAAATAGGCGACCGTGGAAAGAACCAGGTACGCCCGCTGCACAGTACCGCCTGTTTGGTGGGAGGGAGCGGAATAGCATGTTAAAATCATTCGAGGTGTGATCATTGAAGAAGACTTGAAATCCAGCAGGGATTTGAGAACTCAGCCCTCGGCTTTGATACTTCAACTCTACAGCTTCAAGTATGTTTTCAACCGCGGAAAATGTATTAGGACCGACAGAGCAACCAAGATCCGCAACGCGAAAGGTACTATTGGAAGATAACAAGATTTCTACGTCGAGCTTTTCCGCAATTGTCTTGCTTAGAATTTCTTTGCCAGCATCCACTAGTTGTCTCTGCAAAACCAGAGATTGTGAGGCATGATTATATAGCAGTTACTTTGTTTTGGAACCATAATTTGTATAGAAAGACATCGAAAATTCATCAGTCCACAAAATTAACAAAAGAAGAACCTGGTAAGTGGAGTTCTTGGCATAGCTGTTGGGACCATCTCCACTTTTCATTGGAAATGCTTCAATTAGTTCCTTTGGTGCAGCCATCTCTCTATTTCTCTCCATTTTCGTGCGGTTGGAGTAATGGCACGTATTGTCCCCTGGGGGTTGTTATAAATAATAAACATATCTAGTTCAGCTGCTTGATATTAAATTAATTAAGACTAATCATCGTTGTTTATGACCAATTTTTTCGTCGTTTTCCAGTCAGCTGTTTCTTTTTAAAGACAAGGACAGAAATCCATTCGATTCGATGAATTAAAAAGGAAGAATTTTTACCAATTTTTACTTTTTATACTGCTAGCATTGCACAATTGGAATTCATCCATTTTGTTTCATATTCTGTTCCGTCTGACTTTACCAGGTAGAATTTTAACTTATAGGCAACATCAAAGGAGAGGCAGACAACATAAACTACGTAATTTAACCATTGGACAACTGCTAATTAACCAACATTACGCCGCGGTTGAGCATCAAACTCTCGGCAGGCGGCATCTATTGCAAAATATGAGCCAAACATAAAAGAAAAAAAGACCATACTGTTGGTTGTTATATGATTCCAACCACAACTTCGACGCATTGCCCATGCCGAAGGGAAGATCGAGACAGACAGTTGCCCGATGCGCATTCTAATCAATATTTGCGAAAAAAAGACCATACTGTTGTTTGTTATATGATTCCGACCACAAATTGGACGCATTGCCCAAGCCGAAGGGAAGATCGAGACAGACAGTTGCCCAATGCGCATTCTAATCAATATTTGCGCTCGAGAAGTTTGGGGAACGTGGTGAAAGAGAGTAGTCAAATCATTTGAAACTTGGTCGTTGGAGTATACGTGGAATTCCGGTAGGGAAGATTTCTAGCCTTCGATCTGAAATGTTTGTGTTACAGTTTTTATGATGATGTTGACTGCGATGAATGTGTTGGTTTAGGGTTTTCGAGTATCCCCTCAACCACCATTTGTTGTGCCTTGGCCCGTTCGTTAGTGTGAAAACGAGATTCAGATTACAACCTCACCAAATCACATTCAGTTGAACAAAATAAAATACAAGAAATAAAGATACTAAGAAATTTACGAGGTTTGGCAAAAATCCTGCCTACGTCCATGGAGAGATATTGTTCTTCACTATGAGAATAACAGTACAAGATACACATGAGTTAAATCAACATAACTCAATCCCGAATCCCTTGCACACCCACTTATAGAATTTTCTAAGAGCCTCATTCTACCCCAAGAGTTCTTTCACTAGAATATTTTTCACTCTAGCTCTCTTGATTTTCTCTCAACCCATGTTCAACCTTTCTCATGGTAGAGCCAAATGCTCTAACCATCTCCTTGGATGCTTTCCTGATGCAGACCTTCTCCCTCGGCAAGCACACATAATGCAAGCATTTCCTTGCATTAAATAAAGGACAAGCCATCATCACATTTCTTCATAATCATTAAAGTAAAAGCAACCCTCTTTTTCTATTTTCTTACAAGCATCAGCATTGTGTCTTTACTCATGATGATGTCCACCAAACTTTTCTTTGTTTAGTTTACTAGCCGAAAGGCATTTGGCTTGTTGTCCACTTTTGCTTTTACTTTGCAGCACTTGTTTGCAACTTTCATGCAGCCCACACCATGTGATATTTCCACCGAAAGCAAACACAGGTCATTTCATCGTTGCCAGCTCAAAATATGAGCCAATCACAACACCATTGCCTTCAGATTTTTCAATTATATAACAATCTCAATAACTAGTTTTCATAATCCAACCTTCAACGTGGAAGAGAAATTAACAAATCCACCACCAACTTTTATTCCTTACAAGTTACAACGAAAGCAATAGAGCAACAACTAAGAACAGAACATATAACAGATCAACTGAATATGGACAACGTATCTTTATTTTCTCAATGTTTTCGCTTGAGAACGACAAATAATGTGTAAGCCATATCATCAACACCAGCAGTGAGGACCGGACGCGGTTGTGCTTCGATTTTTTTTGAGTACCGATCGAAAAGCGAATCTAAAATTTCAGAGCCAAAGTGGTTTGTGAGAAGGCTTCCCATGCCGGCTCTAACCTCTCCTGTTGTACTATAAGAGGGGGACACCCGAGGTTGCTTTTCCAGTCTTGCAATCTCAAAACACCCGTTTTCGTGTACTAGCTCACTCAGCTCCTCCATTGATGGGCTGTACGTTGGATGGTTGAAAGTGTCCAGTTTGTCTTGGCTTATTAACCCCTGCAATGCCCATACAAATTTAAGTGCTAAGATTTCAGAAAGACGGGTCAACGGTCTACCACTAATTACATTATTGGCAGGTTTGATCATTTAGGATATAGAATTGACCCTTAGAGCTTTTATTCTGGGTTTTAAGTATTTCATTTGACTCTAAACCTAAAACTGAAGCGATTAACTAATCCAAGACTACGATCAATAAAATTTGAGTCACGGTTCTGCACCTTCAAACGACCAATAAATGGGACCAAAATTTGACGATTACCTACCTCATTTACCATATCTATAAGGCAAGATTCAACTCGTTCGTAAAGCGGGCCACAAGAACATTCCCTTGGAAGCGTCCCATCCGGACGACCGGTAACAAGAAGCACCAGTAAGCCTCTAGGAGCGAGCTCTTCCGCTCGAGCATCCAGAAAACACTTCATGTCTTTTGCATACTGAACTGAATATGCGTGACCAACTTCAATAGGCGCATTCGAATAGTACATCCTTCCCTTGTTTAATATAGGTGAATTCAAGTCGGCTATGCCTTCAGGTACCTTAGAAAGCCAAATGACGGAGTACGCAGAGTAAACAAAATTAAGGGATGCCTTGGGGAACAATCTTCCATAAAATGATCCGGGAACTCCAACTGCGAAGTATTGCCTATTCGGGGGAAGGTTGACGAAGAGAGTGTTGAAATCGTTTGAAACATGGTCGTTGAAGAAGACATGGAATTCCGGGAGCGAAGAAGATTGGCCTTCGTTCTTGATTTTTTGTGTCACAGTCTCCATAATATTGTCGATCGCGATGAATGTGTTGGGGCCAACAGAACAACCTAGATCAGCAATGGAAAATGATGAGTTTGAAACAACATTTCCTTGTGACAGATGATTTCCAATGTGTAGGTTTTCAAGTATGGCATCAATCAGCATTCCCTTGACAGTATCGGCTGCCTTCCCCTGCACGGTAAATAACTAATCAACCCCTAATTAATTATTTAACTAAATTGATAAGTGTGAAAAACTTTACAGTACAAATTTCAAACATACAACTAGCAAAGCTAGCTATGCATTTACAGAACCGGTCAGCAGCATCTGCAGGTTACTAACTAGGGTAGGAAAAATGTACCTGTGCACCGGAATTTTTACTGTAGCTGTATTGGTCGTCTCCTCCAGCCATAGGAAATGATTCTTGATCCATCCTTCTCTGAAAAACTTTCACGAAATTAATCTGTATTAATGAGATAATTAGCAAGTACTCGTGATAAGATGACAAATTTGGCGACAAGAAAAACCCGATAACGTACAGGATTAATACCTTTTGAATTAAGGAAACTGGTGATTGAACTTAACCAGTTAGTTAGCTAGGGCAAAAGTACCTGCTCCAAAGGGTTTACATGCATGCGCAGCTCAGTAGTACCATATCTCTCACCCTACTTAACTTATTTATACTTTTTATTCTTGGACTAATCAACATTTCATCCTGAGATGAAGGAGAAGCACGTACGTATGTCGCACTACGACTTTTCATATTTCATGAAAGTCAAAGCATGTCATCTTTGAACTAGGGCGCCGAAGTTGTAGTAGCTAGACTACTAGCTTGTTTGTAATAAAGGACTATATATATAGGGATGTACTATCCACACACTCTTTTTTATTTCTTACACATCTTTTGTTGATTTTTGTCCCTTGATTTTCTTCAATTCATCTTATTATATGGCCGAAAATTAAAAGGGTGTGTGAAAAGTAAAAAATAGTGCGTGAACATCACACCCCTATATATATATTTGTTGGATAAATTATTTAGAGTTTGTTGAATTAGGGATTTCTAAGTTATTATTATATATATATATATATATATATATATGTTGGATAAATTATTTAGAGTTTGTTGAATTAGGGTTTCTAAGTTATTATATATATATATGTTGGATAAATTATTTAGAGTTTGTCGAATTAGGGAGTTCTAAGTTACTATTAAGATTTAGGTTTCTTTGTCATTATGTGCTCAAGTATATGTTTTGATTTATCTCCACGTATATTTTTTTTCTTCTAAATATTGATGGTACGAGATAAATTTATTAATATGAAGAAAAAAAAATTACATCTAATTATGGATGACAAAAACCCTACTCCTCGTAACACAAGAAACAAGAAGGGAGTAACAAAAACTTTACCCCTCCTTAAACTTGAATTAATTCTAGATTACTGTTTGGATTTGTGACCAAGTGTTGCACTGTGTTCTCTTTTAAATCTGTAAGAGTAAGAGAGAATTAAAGCATGTAGTTGTCAAACCTTTATTTTTATAGGAAAACTAATGAAAATGGCTTGAAAACTTTGAGTTTTAATGATAAGGACAAAATAAAAGGTAAAGTGAATAGTACAATGTTTGACTTTTTAGTGTAAAAATGTGGTTTTTCATTAAAGTGAACAGTACCGTGGGCTTTTCGTTAAAACTCCCTATTTTTATCTCTATTATTAGTCGGACAGGATCAATAATATTGGTGGGGAATACAACATGTAATGAAGAATACATTTGTGTTCTCTTAAGATCGTCATTTTGAGGACATGTAAGGACCAAATGCATATTAGTCACAAGATTATAATAAATTAGATCCAAAGGTTTAAAATATTTAATTAAATAAAGCAAAATCAACTTAAAATCCATGAAATATTAAAAAACTCTTTTTTTTATTAAGTGAGAATTTCATTAATTAATTGATCGAGGAACATCACAGGAATCAAATTCCAAACTTATTAATCCAACGTCGACAAGAGATCTACACCTAACTAACAAGATAGATAAGCTCCCAAAACCTAAGTTATACGAATCGGATCCAGAACCATCACACAATAAATCAAACCAAACGACAAATCAAACATAAAATATCTCGTCGACAAAGCGAGAGAGTGACCCAACACAACCCGCAACTGAAACGCCATACTCCTATCAAGACCGTCCACGCCCAAAGCCGCCTCAATTGCGATCAGCATCTACCACAAGCCAAGCAAAGTGAATCTGCCATGAAATCGATTACGCAAGACGAAGCTGCCACAAAATCAATCGAGAAAAGTAATTCCTCTATGAAACAAGGCTGAGCACTAGCAGAACTCATCATGAAAAATAGTACTTGCATTAGTTGTAAGGCACTTCCTCTCCCATCTCTTTGTCACTTTCTCATTTGTTTATCTCAGAAATAATATAACTGTTCAAAGCTTCATCAAAGTCAATTATATCTGCCCGATCTTTTGAGGACTACGTATTTAAAAAATTAGAGTTATATTATTAATTATTTTATACAGTACAATTAAGAAAAAGAGACCTCATAAAAAATGCTAATAATTTATGCGCTAACTTATAAATTTGGACATTTTTATTTTATTAAATGTCAAGTTCAAGTTTTTTTTTTGAGAACTTTAAAAAAAGCTTCTGGTACTGTTTATTTTAACGAAAAATCATATTTTTACACTAAAAAGTCAATCCTAATATTATTCACTTTACCTTTTATTTTATCCTTATTGTTAAAACTCAAAGTTTTTTAAGCTATTTTCATTAGTTTTTTTTTTTACACAAAAAGCAAGACATTTAATGACTTTGAAATTATATTTTTATTCACGGAAGGTTAATTACTAAGCGCTAACCACCCCACCCACAACATGGCTAGGGGTCTGCTGTCCCCAATTATGTGTCTCATTTGTGTCTCATTTCTAGTTTCGTATACACCTAGGTGTCCAATCGTCATACCAACAAATATGGGAGAGATTTTTTAAGCGGTACTTCACGTCTTTATACAAATAGAGAAAATGATATTTTTGTTTTATGTTTCTCTCTACTTATATTATGACACGTAAAATACCCGCTTGAATACCTAGCATTTTAAAATATTTTTCTAATTATAAGTGTTGATGAACATGCTTATTTTCTATTATGGGCAAATCATATAGTTTACAAATTTAAACTAAACAATTGATCTACCTAGCATTACTCCTTTTGTTTTCATGCAACCATCCACACACCTTGAATGGAAAAAGAGTCGTCAATTTTTACTTCCTATCCAATTAAGCAGGTTATAACTATAAGCATGCACATTTTACGCAATCAAAGATATCTGCGCTTGAGAAGGACGAAGAATCCAACAGCCATGCCATCTTCAGCAACATTTCCAGCAGTAGTTTTTTTCGAGTACCGATCAAAAAGCGGTTCTATATTAGCTTCGTCCCCGAAGTGTTTTTGGAGAAGGGTCTCCATCCCAGCTCTACATTCTTGCACGCTAGGCAAGCTGATAGACATCGGAGGTTGGAGCTCCAGCTTCAGTATATCAAAGCAACCATTTTCCTCTATTAGGGTTCGCAGCTCCTCCACGGATGGGCAGTAGATGGGCAAGTTGAATGACTCAAATTTATCTTCACATATTAACCCCTGCACAATTTTTTTTATCACCAAATAGACCGTTATAAATACAATATGAGCAATGCCCCCGATGAACTTAGTGTATTTTTTCGATTTGCCCTCTCCATTTCAATTTGGCAAGCCCCGCAATCTTTTAAAACATTAAAATTTGCCTCTATTGTAATTTTTCTGTCAAAGTAGGTTACCTTCGTCCATTCAAGTTGAGAATACTAGCTATGAGACAAAAAAATGATAAATTTGGAAAGAGTTAAAAACCAAACTGAAAGTTCATAAATGACAATGAGTAACCATGACAGATACGGGTCACTTCCAACAAAGAAAGAAAAAGAAAATAAAATATTTCAAATTTTGAAAAAGAAGAATTAAAGTTGGAAAATATTGGATTCATTCGATATGGCGACATAAAAGGCAACAACAAATATTATGGTGTTAGAATTGGGACTGTGACGCGGTCATAGAAGTGGTGTTCAATTCAACTACAAAAGCAGTTTTGTAGAAACTTGTCAACAACAACAGTTTACTAATAAATGGAACTTTTTATTATTTGTATTTTGGGATTCCAAGGGCTTTATTATCTGTCTTCTAGTTTTCGTCTTAATTACCTAAGTCTTTTGAGATGCCCCAAGGGGTTGTAATTTGTTTATTTAAGCCATTTGGCTTCTCATTTGTAAGCATCTTTCATCTTTCAATCAATTATCAAATTATCATTTGGAATTTTCTCAACTTTCTGGTGGACTCTAGACTTTGTTCTATAAGGGATTACGCTGGTAACCTTTTTATCACTTCATGTTGCATCACCATCTTCATGAGAAATTCTAAATTTTTGTTAAGCTAGCAAGTGAACAGTGTTAAAAAAACTTAACAAAATTTTTGTTAAACTAGCAAGTGAATAGTGTACAAAAAAAAACTATTTTAGCTACTATGTTTAACTTTTTATCACCAACATCACTCTCTATTTTAACAAACTTTGAATATTTATATTAACAATTCAAACTCAGCCTACTCATTTTCTAAAAAACCTTCTCTCTCTTCATTTTTTCTTTGCTCAAGGGTCCACCCCTTGAGTTTTATTTTTATTAATATTTAGTTGATGAATAATTGCCACTGTTCTAAAAACCCTACCTAGGATTAGACGCTTGGCCATCGCTCCGATTAATCCCTAATTGTTTGAAAATTAAGAAATGGCGCCCATACCTACCTAGGCACCTGCTTAGTCCGCCTAGGTCGCGACTCTAACTTAGACAGAAAATAAATTACTTTCATTTTGTACTTTATTTTTCAATAAATTGTACGAGATTTGTTCAATACTTGAATGAGCACTTATTCTATGCTTGATCCCCCTGTTTTCAATATGTTATAATACTTTTAATCTATATGTCATTCTATTTTGCAATTTATGTATTCCAACACAATATGTATTTTTTCAAAGTATAAATAGATATTTATTTATATGTTATATAACAATTTAATTAAAATTAAAAAAAATACAGATAATTACTCTGTAAATTTAAAAAGTGACCGTTCATTTTACTATAATGGTGTTTTGGTTGTTTTACAGCATCTTAGAGATGCTAAGTAGGGGGTGCTAATATTATTCTTTTGATAGTGGAGACATAATTAACAAACTGTTATTAGAATTTTTACAAAAACAATCATTTTGCACTCTTTTTTAATGAAAAAAACAATAAAACTATTTGAATACACAAAACTGATATATTTAATGACACAATCTAATACAAGTGAGTCCCACGTACAACCCAAAACAAAACTAATATACTTGATGGCAAAGTCTAAAAGTGAGACCCACATGCAACTCACTTGTATAAGAGAGTGTCAATAATAGTATCAATTTTGTGTGTCCAAATGATCACATGTAAAAAATAAAAAAAAAGATAATGCTAAGAAGACTAAATTTATAATGACATTGAAGTTGGTGATTGAATTATTACTTAAGTATTGATTAACGTGTTTATTTCTTATGAGTGACACATCATTTAATTTACAAATTTTATTTACAAAATTAGTCTCCCTATAGCATTACCAAAAAACAAAGGGAAAAAGAATGCAAGATCAGCTTTTTTAAAGTACTAATATAATTCTCTTATTAAAATGTTACCTCATTCGCCATGTCAGAAAGAGTAGACTCCAAAGATTCAAAAACCGGGGCAGGATAACTCTCCGCCGGAAGCGTAGAATTGGGACGCCCCGGAATCAGAAGCACCATCAATCCTCCGGGGACAAGCTCTTGCTCTCGAGCGCTAAAAAATGCCTCAATGTCCTTGGCATATTGAACTGAATATGCATGGCCAACTTCAAAAGGCGCACTGCCATATGAAATCTTCTTCTTGTTAAATGCAGGCGATTTCGGGTCACGTAGTTCTTGAGGAAGCTTGGAAAGCCAATGAAGAGCATACGCCGAGTAGACAAAATTAAGGGAGGCTTTAGGGAAGAGCCTTCCATGGAAAGAGCCCGGGACACCCGCCACAAAATACTGCCTGTCTCGGGGGAGAGTGGCGAAAAGATAGTTGAAATCATTCGAAACAAGGTCACTGAAGTATAAATGAAATTCTGGTACTTGAATTCTTGTGTGCTGATATTTTTGAGCTACTGCATCAACTATGTTCTGGACTTGAATGAATGTGTTGGGTCCAACCGAACACCCCAAATCGGCAATCCGGAATGAAGTTGAAATGGAAGACTGCTGCGGATTTTCTATGTCGAGGTTTTCGAATATTGCTGGAACCAATCTTCCGGACGTTATAACATCAGCTGCCTTTCTCTACAAGAAATTGATAATTAACACAATAGTTAGTTTCTTAATAGTCAACATACGTTTTCAAGAAACATTCTATACTCCGTTGATCTAAACTATTGAGAAGAGAATTCGAACTTTGGTGCAGATTAGGAGCACAAACCCTAACAAACTTGGCTAAGCTCAGATTTTCATACATACATGTTCACTTCATTAAGTTATGTACGTGTCTTGTAAAGTATTTATGCATGATCCGAATGGTTGAGAAAACACAACAGTCAAACGAAAAGCTAGTGTTTGATGATCGATACTTAAAACACATGAGAAATTAATAATTCGTAGCTAGCATGTTAATTGTTAAACATACAGCATGACTCGATTCGCCGGAGACTGCCCGGAGGCATACCTGTATATTAGAATTTTTGGCGTAGCTGTTTGGGCCATCTCCTCCCATCATAGGAAATATTTCATCTTCCATCTCTCTCTCTCTCTCTCTCTCTCTCTCTCTCTCTCTCTCTCTCTCGGAAATGAAGTAGTCACTGAGAGAATGCTTAGAACTACTGAAGCATTGGAGGTGAACATGTATATATATAGATATATGTATGTATAATGATACTTGGTTTTCTCCGTGGATTTAGCCACAAATGCCATGATGAAAATTAAATTAGGGAATTGTTATTGACACTCTAAAAATCTCATTCTACACTCCAAACTTTCTATATTTGGAAAGAAAAATACACTTGTGAGGAGTGTAGAATGAGATTTTTGGAATGCCAATAACACTTCCCTTAAATCTTATCAGTTACTATTTTAGTCTTCTTATTCAATCAATTCAAAAGATAAAAATAAACAAAAGTGTGGACGTGAGGCAAGATATAGCTTGACAATAACCAAACCTTTGATGTGGTTTGAAGAACCGCTACATATTATCTTACATTCTCTATTTGAGGATAGCAACTCCATCTTGTAATTTGGTGCAAAATGCTCTTTTTCCCTTTGACTGAGTTGAAATCCCCGACAAAGTTTTTATTGAGGCCCTTAACGTGCAACCCTATTCTTAGCATTGTATGTATTCCTTCATTATTAATGAATATCATTCTTCTTCTCAAAGGAGAAGAGATGAATGAAGCTTTGTGAGTAAAGAGAACGAATTAAACAAAATCTTGAGAAATGGAAAAAAAATAAATAAATTTCAAGTTATTTTTAGTCTTCAGTTTACGTAGGATTCCATATACTAAAAATGTAATATCCACGTGACCAGACATAGTGGAAAAATTCATAAATATATCGGCAAGAGAAAAATTGTCTTAACTATAAGAGTTCATGATGATAATTGACTAAAATTAAAATTCAAGAAGAAAAATGGACGTTAATGACAAATGCAGGGGAGGAAATCGACTAACACCTCAAAACCTCAAATTCTTGACTCTCTTGCATCTTTCTTTTAACCAATCTTCGTCTCTCGTTTTCTCAGATATTTCCCTCTATCTCTTAAGACCAAGACGTAAGATTTCTACAGATCCGAGTGCGTGTCAGTTATCCTCTTTCACAACCCCAAGAAGAAAGAATAGAGTGGAATACACTTAGTCCCTCTGTCGTCGTGTACGACAAGATATGTCGTGAAGCAAATGACGCAAAATCCAACAGCCGACCTCGCCCATTCAACCCATCATGGGTAGTGTGCTAGTCATAAGAGAACCTTCTTCTACTTTGTCCAAGCATCTAAATGAACCGTATCCCTTCCGGACCCAAATAAACCGAGCCTCCCAGTCAAAAGATCCAGACCGTTAAATTTTTACCCAACGGCTACAAATTTATTTGGATCCGGTTCCCAACCAGAAACCCACTTCAATAATTCACTATCCTAAACCACTCGGAAAATGATTTAGATAAAAACTAGCGCCGAGCTACCTGATTATGACAACCCTCGCGGTGCGTCGGGTGAGATCAAAAATACCAAAAACATCGCGCTTTCGCGAGGGCTCTCAACATACGCCTTGATCCGGTGCCTCTACGCTCACGAAGATGCTACAAGATAGGAGTCGTCCATGACGTAGCTTAAATTAATGTCCACTCCCACCATTTCTTCCCCGAAATCCAACGATGATCCACACCATAGGAGACGGCTCTCCGACCACACTTGATTTAAACCTAATGAAATCGACTGATCTTACGGAGTTGGTACAAAGAAGAAATAAAATCCACTGATCAATCAGAATTTTCATCGAGATCTAATAACCCACAGTAATGGGAGGCTCGATTCAATACTATATTAACGTGGTATAAGAGTCCATACAATTTGAGTTGTAGGTAATGCTGCGATGACTTCAAACCCATCAAGCTGCCGCGCAGTCCGTCCTACTCACGCAGCTCTACCAATCAACAAGCATTACGTTATCATGGGGTCGGAAATTCCAAAATACAGAAGAATTGAGTAAGTGTTGGATGCAAATGCAAACGCAGCTGGTAGCAAAATTTGTTAATATATGGGCAGCTAACACTTAGATGCAAACACAATTATAAAATTTGGAAGAGAGACAACGTATGCGGGAAAATAGCATTCGAAAAGCCTTACCTTCAGACCAAAATTTTTTTAAGCACTTGAATTGTTGCGGTAATTTGATGGTTGGTCAATCACTTTTCCAACTGCAATAGTTTTTCCTGCAGAACGTAGAAGTAACCTTTACTACAACATGCCAGAAACATCCTAGATGTATAAAGAGAAGGGCCCAGGCAAGATATTTATACCTTCAGTACGAAGAGTAAACCTCCCAAGTTGCGGAAAGTCCGCAAACTTCTCAATGCATATCGTGTTGCTGACCTGCAGGAGCACATGTGCCCAAGGTAAGTGAACTAAGAGTAACACAGATGTCCATAAATCAATTGCTCTACTGTATTACGTTCAAAAATTTTTACCACCTCTTTTTTTAGGGGGGTTAATTACAAAATTACGACGATACATACCTGAATCTTGCACACAACAATGGCACCATTCTTGACAAAACGAATATGCTTTTTCATAGGTTTCTTCGTCTTCGTATCAATTTGACTTACAAGCTCAATAATCTCACATTCTTCAACAATTGAGTGAATATGCAGGACAGCTTTATAGCCAGCCGTCAAAATTGCCTGATGAGAAGAAATATATGGAGGGCTTCAGATAAAATACACACATGTTCACCAACCAAGATCATTTGAGAGAGAGAGAGAGAGAGAGAGAGAGTTCCTACATTGTCAAGCAGTTCAAGAATCTGCAACTGGGCGAAAAATTCTGTAACGGCAGGTATTGGCTTTGCTGCATTAACAAAAAAAAAAAGTATATTAAGAGCAACCATATATGACATATACATTTAGGACAACAGAGGGAGGGAGAGATAAACTAATACAATAACTGATTTTTTGAAACAAAAATGAACCAAAAATAGTCTCAAATAGTTTTCAATTTTTTCGTTATTTTTATTTCCATCCATCTTCCCTCCTCTTATCCTCACTTCTCTTACATCTCTTCACTTAAAAATTAATAAAAGCCAACTAACTAGTAGTTAGTGGTGCTTCTCTTTCCCATGTCATGAGACGTTCCAAGTTTGATCCCCCACCCCCCACTGATAAATAAAGAAATAAAATAAATAATGACAATTTCTGTAAACAAATAAAGATAATTGCTTCAAACTTTAAAGGGGAAAAAACGAACATGCAGCAGCAATGCAACTTTTTACTTTTAAGGAATAAAATACTTGAAAACTCTTAAGAATGGACAAAGAATCCAGTGAAACGCCGTGAAATAGAACTTACCAACACTCGACACAACAAAGCCTGACAATATATCCTCATCATCAATGCCTGATAATCTAACCCGTAGATTTTCACCTGGGCCCGCACGTTTCACCCTATCTTCATCAATGTATATAGCAACAGCTTTCACTGGGACCTGCAAACGAATGTGTTAAATTGTATTTTTAGTATAAAATCCTTATAGATAAAAGATAAAATTATAAAGGAAAAAAATATTTGAAAGGAAGAGGAAGGAACCTTATTTGGCATGACAAACAATGAATCCCCTTCACGCACGGACCCAGATTCCACTTTGCCCATAACAACTGTTCCCATGTCCTTGAATTTGTCTATGATAGGCATCCTACAGAAAGGAATTCAGGGTAAAAAAGGTCGTACCCAGTGCACAAGGCTCCCGCTTTACGCAGGGTCTGGGAGAGGTGAATGTCGGCTAGCCTTACCCCCATTTATGGAGAGACTGCTCCCAAGACAGAAAGGAATTCAGGGGATTAAAGAAATTTAAAGAAAATACATTTAACAATAAATCACCAATTCCTGTTTACTCTGACAGTTTACTAAATCTCTAGGGAGCAAATGATCCCCACCTCATCATCCACCCTCCGTATATTTTCACTAGGTGCCAATGACCAAATTCCATTTTCAAACAATACTTTGACATTGTAAAGAAATTAGAGTACAAGCCACTCCTCACATACAAACTGACAATATAATGCTTCCTACCAGAGTGCACTAATTAGTAACCGTTGGTACCTTTCAAGGGAAAAGAATATTTTGTGCAGAAAATGTCTCCTCAACAAGTGAAAAAAAATATAAACGTACATCAATCAGACTGCTTCAAAGAAAAAAGATAGATTCAATACAGATGCTTACTTAAGACGTTCAAAGGCAAGGTTAAAAAACAGACCACGTACCTGAATGGACCTTTAGGATCTCGTAGAGGAACTTCAATAGAATCAAGGGCTTCAAAAAGGCAGGGACCATCCCACCACGAACATACACTTTTATCCAATCTGGTTTTCATATTTGTTCCCATCAGGCCAGATATAGGTAGGAATTGCACATCTGCAAAGGCAGAGTGGAAACCAATGACATCCTATGTCAATACACCATAATAAAAACAGTGCCTCAAAACTACCATTATTATCAGTTCAGATAGAAAAGAAAAAAAAATCAAAATGAAAGAAGAAATCCACTAACATAACATTTACTTCTGTGACAGAAAGGGCATCACATGCACAAACAAGAGAAACAAAAGCAAAAAATAATGATTCAATTATACCCCTATTTTAATGTACTGACTTGATCATACATATTTTCATTGATATAAAAGGTTCCATTTTTGTTTTCTCCAATCTCTCAGAGATATATGAGTAAGCTTTTGCAGGCCAAAGGAGTTGCCTATTCCTCAACTCTTCCTTGATTCTTCTCATAATATCAAACAAAGGAAAACATGACTGTTAGACCATTTCCAATGGAGATGTCAAATTATAAGAGTCAAATTAAAAACGATGGCTGATGTGGCAATCTAAAGCTTTATGTCAAATTTTGTACTTCTCCAACCGAATTGTCAAATGTTATTTTATTATTCAAATGGAGTTTTAAATGGTTGTAATTATTAAAAGAATGTTGAAACAAAAATTTTATTGGTTGAAATGTTAGTGGAATAAGGGACCCGCCATTAAAATGAATTAAAAATAAATTTGACATTGATGTCAAATTTGACTCCAAATCACAAAGCCTTCAAATCCAGTTAGCAAATAACACTTCGGTTGGAGAGACTTTTGATGTCAAATTTGCACAGTGGCATTCCACCTAGGATTTTGACATCTCCTTTGAAGATGCTCTTAGTCCCTTTTTTCAATCCTTCTATCGAACATAGTGTCATCATGGTTTGAGAATAGTAAAATGATTCTGACCTATTCCCCAAAGGTATAAAATACAACTTAAATCAGAAATCCAGCATAATTACTAAGTCAATGGCATTAACCCAAACAAAGAGAAAATAGAAACTAACATATGACTTCCCAAATACCAAAACCATAAAATAACATATCTATTAAGTTTTCGAAGAAATAATTCATGTACCTTTTTTCACATTGTAGCCTGATGCTTTAAGGAATGGTATCATTTTTGTAACAATTTCATCGTACCTGGAGAAATAATTAAATTAAAAGCATAACAAATCACTAATCAGTAATCAATAGGGGTAGGGGCACATACAAGAGAGAGAGGGTGTTAGATCCGAAATATCGCTCCAACTGAGGGTAAAGTACCTTTCTTTTGACCAGTTCACAGTGGGTTCATCCATTTTATTTACAACAACAAGCATCTTGGACACACCCAATGTCTTAGCAAGTTGAACGTGTTCACGGGTCTGCCCACCCCTCTCATACCCGGTTTCAAATTCTCCTTTACGAGCAGAAATTACCTAAACAGAAAGAAGGAGAAAAGTGAGAGGCTATTAAATATGCAAAATTTACCTTTGCTGGATTGATGTAGTAATTAAGCATCATGGATGTAACTCACCAGTACTCCTATATCAGCTTGAGATGCACCACTGATCATATTTGGAACATAACTTTTGTGGCCCTGTTAACAAACATGTACTACTCATAATCACCCAAAACAAACCCAAACCATATTGTCCAAGAAAATAAAAAATGAGAGGTCTTGTGATTCATGAAAAAAAATTAACTTACAGGTGCATCCAAAATCGTGAATCTTGATGTCTCGGTTTCAAAGTGGGCCCGCCCAACTTCAACTGTTTTACCCTGCAATAAGATATCCCAAAGAAATAATTAGAGCCCAACAAGCTGTTCTTTTGGCAAAACTAGATGTTGTAAGCATAATTAGTTAGCATTTGACAATGACTTAAAGATAGGCAATAACATTGCAGCATCTTTGTATTCAAACCAATCAAACCATACCTTAACTCTCTCTTCTTCATTGGTGTCCATAATATAAGCCATATACCTAACAGATATGACATAACCATAGTCAATGGGCAGTGATCCAAACACAAAAATTCATGCAGCATAAGTAAGGTCCATTTTTGCATCAGATGATGCGTTAATGCAGTTGTGAACTAAAAAAAAGTATTTCAACTGAACAACACATTAAGAAAACCAAGAGAAGGAATGAGAGAACATTATGAGATATCACTAAAGAAATGTTCTAACATTGTGAAAACCTATCAAACCTCACTAGATTGTGAAATTGTTAACTAGTTATCTGCATGTGTCAGCTAAAGTCAAAAGTTACTGATATTTTGAGGGAAGATTAGGATCTTGGTGACAAGGGGGTAGGATATGCTCACCAGCTTTCCCTACTTTTGTCCTTTGCTTCTTTTTCGTATTTTTGGATTGTACGATCATCAACCTGACCACTAAGAAAAAGTATTTGGCCTCCTGTTGTGGACTTTCCAGCATCTGCAACCAAGAGAAGACACGATATGAAGCCCCGTTTGGGTTCACAACAAAATGGAACATTAATGGCAACCGGCAAGTGTATAGTTCTAAGTTATGAAGGCAGGACAATAATCGAAAACGAGATTTTTTAGATAAAGAAACATCATGATAAAAATTAACTTACCAACATGGCCAATAAAAACAACATTCAAGTGCCTCTTCTTATCTAATTCCATGTCATCATGCTCTTCTTCTGGATCCGGGGTTTCCTTCTCCTTCCCTGCATATTCAGGCCAAACATTGATCTCCCAGAAGAACATTGGAATAGAATTTGGCATGGCAACTTATGGGTGATGTAGTAAGAATTATTGTTTAAAAACAAAAAACAAAAGACATAATAACAGACAAAAACAAATACGGACTGAGCTTCAATAGTACCTTTATGCTCAACTACAACTGACTTATCAGACTGTTTACGAATCTCTTCCCTGGAATCTGAAATTGTTCCAATATTTGGAGGGAAAACTAGAGTTAGTATTCTATATCTATCTCCCATCAAGCCAAATTACTAGGCAAACGCATCTAAAAATACATGCCCTACTTCCCATCAAAAGGATCCTGTACAAAATCAAAGTAGAAAATTACAGAAAGGAATAAAATTTAAGTCTACATATCAAGTTAATTGCGTCAAATAAGTTGAACCAACAAGATGTGAAGTGGGTAATCAAAAGCAATAGAAAAATTAAACAAGCATCGTCAATCATGCTACCATTTTCTTGATATATCTAACCAGTAACTGAAAGTGATTTTGTACCCGCCAAATTTTCAATTTTAATGGTACTCTAGGCTTCGTAGTATTACTCATTATAAGCAGTAGCTAGGAGCATTTAGTGGTAAGCATATCAAAGGTTAATAAAGCACAATCAAAATATGCCCTCTCAACCCAAACCTCTACTCAACAAAATAATAACATAATAAAGTAATCGACGATACTACCAACCTTCCTCCATCTTATTATCATTCTCTACTTCCGGCTTTGCTTCGTCCGGATTAACAACCCCATTATCTTCTGCTACATTTTAACCAAATAATTGACTCAGAAATTAAAAACTTACCATAGCACAGCCATCATAATCATTTATCTTAACCAAAACAAATAATTCAAATTCTCTTTTAGATTTACCTGCTGAATCAAGCTGTAACGATCGGATTTCCTCCTCGATATCTACCATTCACAGAATTCAATTAAGTAATTATAATCAAATCTCAAAATTCAACACAACGTCAAATATTAACACCCCATTTTGGTTTAGAAACAAAAAACACCAAACGTTCTCATTAATTTCGAATAATTCATCACAAATAAGAGCCATGATCGCTAAACTTTATCCTGAACTCCTTCACTCAAAGTACCAGAGATAAGGAGAATCGAAACAGATAAAAAATAATTCGCAAACTCCTGACGAACTAGAATACAAGCAAAAAAGATTCAAATCAGAACTCATAAAATCGCCAAACAATCGCCTGGATCTACCGGAGCTTAATCGCCGAACAAAAACAATCTCCAAAAATTAAAAATTAGAAAGAAAGGACACGAAAATTCGAGAAATTTCAAGAACCGAGATTTCTAAACAGATGATTAGATTAGAGGATTAGGGTTTAGAGTTGCGTACCCATGGATGGCGAGACTTCTGTGAGATTCTGTAGCAATCCGCTAGGGTTTTGACGAGGAGCGAGCGAGCGAAGAAGGAAGTGAGTGATAAAATGTGAACACTTGTGCTGCGTACTTTCTGGAATCTACTGGTAGCGTACCTATATCAATGTGCTTTTCATTTTATGGTTTGGGCTCCAACCCGGTTCGTTATGTACCTCTTTGGTGCAAAATTACCCAATTTTGCAACCCAACAAATGGTTTTTTTTTTTTTTTTTTTTTTTAATGATTTTTTACATTTTAATTTATTTTGCATTCAATACGATTATATTGGTATTGATTTTTGAGAATCTTAACGAAACACTTTTGGTACTGTTCACTTTTAACGAAAATGATATTTTTACCTTAAAAAAGCACTCATGATACTATTCACTTACACCTTTATATTGTCCTTTTCATTATAACTAAAGTTTTTAAAAAAAATTTGTTAGTTTTCCTTTGATTTTTTGGAATTTTTTTGGAAAGTTGATCATTTTTTTTTAGAAAATAAAGAAATTAATTTAAAGAGAAGTTTGAAAACATCTAAAGCCTTTAAAATCAAACAAGAAGAGCGTTTTTAGCTTGGTAATCAAACTTTGAAAAGTTAATATTCTGAAAGCTATAATACGGAGGAGATCAAACTTCGGTGCAACGAAACAAACACATTGTTACGCAACATTTGAATTAGCTTGAAGTTAATGAATTTGAAAAAAAAAAAAATATGAGCGATATTCTAATTAACTATGCTAACATGCATCAATTACTACGGGAAGAGGGATAATTTGTTTTCTTTCTTTGACAGTTGAAGGGTATTCGAACTTCAGTGCATAAAAAATAAAATAGAACGAGAGGTTTAAAGATTTTCTTTATTTGGGTTGCTAACCCTTGGTCTGACGGCTTCTTCAACAGGCCATATTGTTCAATTCCAAAGATGGGCCCAAGGCCGAATGCATATAGCAATTGGGTGAATGTATATAAATCTGACTCCGGCCCAATCCATTATTTTGATTAGACTGTGGTCTCTTCATTCCTTACTTCTAGCCTGGCTCAGTTCGTTAATATTTTAAAATTTTATTCTTTTTGTTTATGAATTAAAAAATAAAAAATAAGGCTTATCAGTTAGGATCAATTTTAGTATCTAAGATTTGAAATTAATATAAATAGTTTCTAAATTTATCCATCATTAATCATTTGATCATCTAGTAAAAAAGTTTGTTAATAACGATCGATACAAATATCATTAATTTAATACGTAATAAGCGAAAATGATTTGACAAAAATTGAGGACAAACTCATGAATTATTTTTATCAATTTTAAATCTCATAGATTAGAATAAGGTTATGTCAATCACAATAACTATTTTAGGGCTCGTTTGAATATGTTTTTAAAATGACTTAAAGCGTTTTTAGATAAAATATTTTTTAGTTTCAAAAGCACTTAAAGTGCTTTATGCAAGAAGCACCAATTATGTGTTTCTTCCAGAAAGCAATTTAAGTCTTTTTTTAAGATTTACTTGCATCTTTACTAATAATTAATTCTAAAAATATTTTTCATCAAAAACATTTTCAATTATTTTAAATACTTATTCAAGCGAACTTTTAGTTAATGAGTTAAAAAATAAAAATGAAAGAAATAAAAGCTAGATGACAAATAGATAAGGTAATCATAATTCAGGACAGTGA